ACTACACCTGAATGTAATCTGCACAAGGTCAAGCTATGGAATGTAAAAGGTAATGGCTATGACAGGATCTGGTAGCTGTTCATACAGATTGAAGTATTTATTATTCATATTTTATATAAAACCTGAATTATTCTAGGTCATGTAATAGTCAGAATAGAAAAGACATTTTTTCTTAATGTTTGAGGAGGAAGGTGTGGGATTCAACTCAGTTAACTTCACCAGCTCTGAGGTTACGTGTCTCATGCAAACATGGTGCTTTAGGCTTTTTCTGGAGTCACTGAAGAAATATGGGCAGATTCAAAGCACTGCTCATCCCACTTGTCTCCCAACAGATGCTTTAAGGTGCTTTTTTCTTTCACTGACATGAGAGGGAGCCCTGGTCACCAGTCAGCAGTAGACACTCAGTTTTTTACATTTAATTTAGCTGCATGATTCTTGTCCGTAACAACTGACTTGAGTAAAGGTCAGAGACTTCAGTCATCTGTACAGCAGCCTAATAAAATGTCCTTGTGATTCTGAGCTAGACATTTGAGCAGGTATTTTCAAAATCAGTAGTTCTTGTTAAATGTCTGGCTCATGTCCATCTTCCATCTCCTCCTCCAGGAAATATTGCTTTCCAGCCTCTTAGATATATGTACAATTAATTAATAAAATGCAAAATAAAATAGTGCAGTATGATTGTTGTTTATTCAGCTTCAAGTGGAACCAAAGTGTTTCTGGAGAAAAGAAGAAAAGCCCGAGTAAAATTATTTATAGCACAAATACACAGCAGTTTCTTGAGACTAATATTTCATAGTGGGTAGGGAACACTTACAGCTGTGTAATTTCCAATAAGTCATTTTCTTAGTCTTGTGCCCTACCTTTCTGGCATACTAATGAACATCAGGAGAGCTTATGAGCCTTTCAGGTTGGAGTTAACAATAAAACGAGTCATATTCCCTCAGATGTGTTTAGTATACTGATGTTATTAGTCCCACTTCTGCTAGCCTCTGGACATTTTCTATCCCAAGACTATCATCAAAACTAACTCTGGATATGACTATGTTATGAGAAATATAATATCAGTAGGAAAACAAAACAACAAAAAACCCCACATTAAAATCTGACAGCCACACAATATCTGTACTAGATCATGTGAAGAATAAAGACACCAACCCCCATTTCAGCCTTATTCATAGTGCCAGCTTTTTTCCTCCCTATTCAAGAATTTTCCACTACTAGGCTACAGCAATTAAAATTTAATTACAACATGAAATTCTCACTGTTAGGGAGTCTGGGTATGTGGTTCTTCCTCCCTGGATAACCTTTTATCGAGGTTGGGGAACCCATCTCAGTTTCCAATGACTGCACAAGTGTACATGTATGGTCAAAACTGTTCCTGCACAGGCTGCTTGAAAGGTACCCCAGCAGTTCTGATGACATGATTTGTTACCCTTCAAATTGCCCTTTTCCACTTTCATGCTTTTTTCTGCTACCACACTCATGCACTCTGAGATAAACAGCCTGTCCCTGTTTATTCTTTTCCTACCAGCTCTAATGTTGCTGATTTTACATCCTTATTCAGTGTTTACAATAAAGTTGTCCTAGTAATTTCTGCCTTGGTCTGTAGTGCTGGTACTCCTGTTTTTTCCTGTTTCTTGGATTGCTCTCTTGGTAGTTTAGCCTCAAGTCAAGGTTAGCATCTGCATATGGCATTACTCTTTCTTTTGCAATTTGTTATCCCTGGTAACTTCTCACATTGTTATCTTTCTGTAGTTCATGTTTGATGATTTGCATACATAACCAGGAACCAACTTGGCAAAACTGCTGGTGGAAGCACCTTCTTCATCTGCTTGGTCTGAATGACCAGAGACAGCCCCCATGGCCAGTGACAGCCTGCATGGCTATGGACCTTGAGGGAAACAATCCTACTTAACTTTTTGCTTTCTGCCTGTCCTTCCCTCTTCTACCACCACAAAATACATTCACATGGTCCAGCCTGTTCCTGCATCTTCTGGCATGTTGCTCTGTATTTCTGGTACTTTCCTTGGCTGCCTTATGTGGTGGAATGCTCATTAACCCCTCTCTCCTGGACCAGACAATGGCCTGCTTTCTGATGACTTCCTCCATCCTCTGGCCTCTGAGCCATGTGGAGAAGCTGCCCAGAAAGGATCAGTTATTACGTGCCAGCTGTCTTCCTGGAGATCATTCATCTTCCATTTATCCAGATTACCTCTGTGACAGTGAAAACTGATTGAGTAGGAATGGGAATGACTGCATTAAAAGGACCTGAGACTTATGCCAGACTTTTTATGGGGAAGTTGCTCTTCCACCAGCCAGAAAACAAACAGAAGAGTTCAGAGGTTGTGTACTCCACCCACCCAGCTGTAGTGGGTTGACTCTGGTTTTATGCCAGACACCCACCAAAGCATCTACATCACTCCCTCTGCAGCTGGTCAAGGGGGAGAAAATATAACAAAGGGTTGAGATGAGGACAGAGAGAGATCACCCACCAAATGACATCACAGGCAAAACAGATTCTAATTAGAGATACAAATTGAATTTATTACTAACAAAATCAGAGCAGGATAATGAGAAGTAAAATAAGACCTTAAAAATATCTTTCCCCCACCCTTCCTCCTTCACAAGTTCTACCTCCTCCACCTCAGTGGCACAGGCAGACAGAGAAGGGGGATTATTAGAGTTCATTAGAGGTTGATTCTACTGCTGCTCAGGGAGAGGAATCCTTCCCCTGCTCCAACCTAGGGTTCCTCCCACAGGAGACAGTTCTCCATGAACTTCTCCATCCTGTGGACAACATTGCTCCACAAACTGCTGCACTGGGTCACTCTTTCAGGGTATGCAGTCCTTCAAGGACAGGCTGCTCCAGCGTGCAGAGTCACAAGTCCTGAGGACACTGCTCCATTGTGGGTTCCTCTCTCCATAGGTTTGCAGATCCCTGCCAGGACCCCTCTCCAGCATAGGACTCCCACAGACTCACAGCTTCCTCTCAGGCACCCACCTGCTCTGGTGGATGCTCCTCCATGGGCTGCAGGTGGATCTCTGCATCCCCCTGGATGTCCATGGGCTGCAGGGGCACAGCTCCATCACTGTGGTCTTCACCATGGGCTGCAGGGGAATCTCAGCTCTGGTGCCTGGAGCACCTCCTCCCTCGTCTTCTCCACTGACCTTGATGTCTGCAGAGTTGTTGTTCTCACATATTCTCACCCTGCTATTCTATGGCATTAATTACAACTGTGAAAAACCCTTTTTTTAATTCTTCCTACATATGCTATCCCAGAGGCATGACCACTATTTCTGGATGGCGCAGACTTGGACAGCAGTGGGTCCATTCTGGAGCTGGCTGACACTGGCTCTGCCAAACATGGGGAAACTTCTGGCAGCTTCTCACAGAAGCCACCTCTGTAGCCCCCTGTGAATAAAACCTGGCCGTGCAAACATCAGCTTAATTCACAGTAACATTTTGAAGACAACCTGCCAGCATACAAGTTTGCCTGTAGAAGTTTTCTTTTAATACAAAGATAAAATAAATACTTTGGTGTAACAATGGAATTGTATCTTGTAGGTTTTCACAGGTACTTGCTAGGGAACAGCAAGTGGAAAAGTGTCGCGTCTAGTCTGTGAAGTGATTGCTGCTACTGTTACCACTCATCTGTATCGAATATCTTCCTCTTTGGGCTTACACATGTGCTAGCAGGGTGTTGGAGGCTATTTATTCCTGAGGCAAAAGAAGGGAAACCCAATCATAGGGCAAAAATCTAGACTAAGTAAAATGACTGTATCTCGTTTCATCATCCATCTACTATCAGCTTACATTTCCCTGCCATCAGACCCTCATGTCACATTGCAGTCTGAGACAGCACCTGCAAACCAATCAAATAAAAATATAATGAGGAGGATTATAATTAAGTTTCTCTATCTACAAAAGCATGGATCTCCTTCCACATACAGATGGCTTTTGATACATCATAAGACATATCACCATGCTGTGTAATGAGAACTGTGCAGTGGTTTGTCTGGTGAAAAAAAGAGAATTTGCCCCCTGAGCCTCCTGATTTGTTTTTTATTGACACTTTAATAGGACAGTAGGTAATATTAAGATAGACGGATGAACCTTTGAGTCCAGGTTTGAACTAAATCCAGTTTTTAAATTACTGTAGGGGTTTCTTTATTTTTGGCGCAGTGCACCTCTTCTGGAAATGGCAATCCACAGCAAGCCAATCGTACTGCCACAATAACAGTGCTCTGCAAACAAGATTTCTGTTTGGGTACAATGTGAAGGGTGAGCAGAGATTGTCCTTTAGGCTGTCCTTGTAGGTAAAAACAGGCCTCATCAAATTCATCTTAGACCAGGATTTCATCAAAGAGAGAGATTTAACAAATCATTTGGCAAATATATTTAGAAGACATAAAATATGACTTTCGGATCACTTCATTATGTGTTATTTGTTTAAATGTACCCTGACTCAATTACAATTCTGTTTCTGTAAAATATTTTGCTTTCCATACAAATTGCTGAAAAGAATTTTCAAAATATCAGTATGTGATAAGCACTTAGTATTCGTAGGATCTTCTGAAAAGCCCATCTGCTATGCAAATTAATATCTAAGAGTAATTTCTGAATGGGGATTCATAAAGGCATGGTTCAGAAAAACAATTAGCATATGTTTACCTTACAGTGATTTCTGTGAAATACAGACTTTTATTTGAATTCTTTGTACAATGAAGAATGATTTCCCAACCTGAGGTGGTATTCATTACAACTAGTAATATCAGTATATTGTTTGCTTATTAACAGATTTGAATTTTATTTTTTTATTTATATTTCTCCACCAGATTCAATATACAGTGGTGGAAAATGCATTAATTCATTTAATTATTCATGAAGCATGTTGTACATAGTTGTGTTATTCCTCACCCCGTGGGAGGAGGTGACTCTTTTTCTCAGTTGCTTTCAGGAGCACGTTTCCCCATCTGAGTCTTTCTGTCCTGCCCCCTAGTGCACCTGGTGGACATCTGGAATGTGATCGAGGCCTTGCGGGAGAACGCCCTGAACAACCTGGACCCCAGCATCGAACTGAACGTGGCTCGCCTGGAGGCTGTGATTTCAACCATCTTCTACCAGCTCAACAAACGGATGCCCACCACCCACCAGATCAACGTGGAGCAGTCCATCAGCCTGCTGCTCAACTTCCTGCTAGCGGCCTTTGATCCGTAAGTCTGCCTTTCCTCCCGCCTCTCCCAGCTGCTGGGAGGGTTTGACTTCCTCCAGAAATATCTCTGGAAATCAATTGAGCAGGCTCAATTCTGTCCCAAATAATGAGCATGTGAATAGTGCTAACTAGGGAGATAACCTAAATTAAGGGCCTCTGCTTTCCTTTCTTTGGAGCCAAATTCAGCACAACTGTGTTTTCATCCAGCTACTCAGACTTGTTCCAGTTTATATCAAAGAAGAATTATCTACAGAAACAAATTCACATGCGCTCCTAATTTGGCTTGTTGTTTATTGACACACCAGTGGCTGACACCACTGCAATGCCTCTGCAGCAGTGCCATGGGTTAATAGCTCATTATTTTGAAAGAGCTCATTTCCCTGCAAGTTCTTGCAGCTGTAAGCAATTTTTTTTTCTGGCTCATGCCAGTGCAGCATGATTTTGAGACCATGACAGAAATAGGATTAAAGACCTGGAGGTGATGAAATTCGTGTTGTTTATTACTGCATGGGACTCATATTACAAAAAGAACAAGTTTTAGATAGAGCAAACCACTTACATTAATGAGTATTCTGTGCATATCTATTGCAATTTCTGAATACATAGTTGGCAACCTGTACTGCAATATTTGCAGTCCTCAGAACTGAGTTACTGGAGAACAGCGGTTAAGTCTGACAGGTGCAGATGTTGTCACTTTATGGCTTATTTTTTGAAAATTCATCAGCAGAAAACACTGGCCATTAAACATTAAAACAAGGATGCTTCCCCTCTCTCTTCCCAGTCCTCTCTCTCTCTGCCCTGGTACTGGGTGTCATTGAGCACCTCTCAGTGCCAGACCAGCCAGTGGCTCAGTCACCATGGCAACAGGGAGAAAAAGTAGGTGTTCCACATGAGAAGGCTGCACTCAACCTCTCCTCCTGCCCCTCTGAGAGGAAGAAAAGCCAGTCCATTGTGAAATCATAGCCTTCTGGAATATTTTCCTCCCCTCAAGGGCAATAAAAGAAGGAACAGGCATTTTAATTCATACCATTGTGGCTGTGACAAGGATACTAAAGGATGCTGGAAATGACCAGATGCATTTATTGCTGCATGCCACATTCCTGGCTGGTAAACATATGGAAAGACCCTGGTCTATGGAAGCAAGACCTCTGATACTGTGCTTACTTTGTAGCTCATTGTAAAGGGATAAAGATCTCAGCTACACAACACAGCTACTTGCAGCATAATGGAGTAGAGGAATTTAGTCCCCTGGAGGGAATCAGAGAATGTTTTTAAGGGGGCAAGGTTTTGCTTTCCCTGAAAGCATTCCATGTGCTGTGGTTCATGATCTGTTTCTGAGCTCCCATCAGGCCCCCCCAGAGTAAGGAAGCTGTGACCCTCACTCCATTTGTCAAGCAGCAGCTCAGCCTCTTGTGCTGCCTCTGAGTGTAGTGCATGGGATTGCACTTCCCAGAAGGGCAGAGACCCCCAAGGAATCCCTAGGAAGAGGCTCCCAGCTCTGAGATCAGAGATAGGGACTAGCTGCCTATCACTCCATATTAAATACAGCAAACATATGAGATGATGTTCATGTGCAACCTGAGATACCTAAGTTCAGGTTTCATGGAGATATTTGTCAGCTAGGTCTCTCTGTACTGTAGTGGAAGTCTAGACACCTGTCACAAATAAAGACTCACCAGTTAAGCATCTGATTCTCAAAATGTGCCCTGCACTTTAGTATGTCTCATATCATTGAAGTTTTATGTTGGATGTTGGTTTAACAACCACTGGTGGTTCAGGTTTCCTGGTTTCTGGGAAACAGAGGGAGGGAGGTGGCTCTACATGCCACAGGAACAGTGTGGGAGCTGCTGGGGTCTAACCAGAGCTGCTGTCTCTGCTTCCAGTGTTGCTCCTTCCTCTCCCCTCCAGAGCAGGAAAAAGGTCGTTCTCTGCTGAAAGATAGAAGATGGTAGAAGGAGGAGCAAGGTCTTTTCTTGTGGTCTCATGTTCAGAGAGAAGCAATGCTTTGCAGGCTATCCAGAGGACTCAGCAGGCTGGAGAATTGGAATCTCTTCATGAGGTTCAGCAAGGCCAAGTGCAGGGTGCTGCAGATCCAGAGAAGGGGGTGCAGTTTTTCATGTCCCATTTGGAAGCCAAAGTGGAGAAATGGAGTCTGCAACGTAACGTATATGAAAGGACCACAAGGGACAAGTTATTTCATGTTTTAAAGTCTAATAAGCCTGCCACTGTCTCATTTATTTAGTTCTAGTTAATATATATGTTGCTCTTTGTGTACTGTACTGGATGAAGATCCTCCAAACTTTAAACAGAGCCTCTTCCTTCTTTTACAGCCTGCTGAAATCCTGGCAGATTTCTCTGCCCTCTGGCAAGGACTGTTTCCTTAGGCCTGCAATACAGATGTCCTCTCAGGAGCTAAAACTTGGCTAGCAAAACACAAAAGAACCACAGTGTGCTGCCATGGCATGTGGGCCAACTTAGCCACTGCCGGTGCTGAGCTTATCCCATTTTTTTATGGCTTTTTTATGGCATTGGGGATTCATTAGGCCCACAGATATTTCTCTGCTGCTCAACCCTGAAAGGAGAAAAAGTGGGGGAAAATTATAGTGGATAGAATTTCATGTGAGACTGAATAGGATGTTCCTTTATGCGGCTAAAAGTAAGCTAAAGTACAACCTTATAGAACCGCAAGCCAACAAATTCAAAATTCACCAACAGAAATACTTCTCCAATTAACTTCTCATTAGTGTGTGGAAGTCAGCATCATGTGGTAGGTGACCCTGACACACCAAAACCAGTGAGCAGAATGAGGTGGTCAGACTTTAAAAAAATCTAGACAGAAACATGTCTGATCTATGTTTCTAACCACAGGTTAAAATTAGGCAACAGCTTTTGCTTCAAGGCCTAGGGTGATTAACTGGCTTTATGAAACAATAGCACACTTCCTTCACTGGCACACCAAGTACTATGTAAAAAGTTGATGAGTACAAACCTCTCTGAAAAATTCCTCCCAGGCTGGTGTCAAAGGCTGGGCAGCAAGGTGGAATGTCAGCCTCATTCAGTTGTTCTCCAAAACACTCATTTTAAACAGAGTGGGAAATATTCTGTGCTAGATCATCTCCAGCTATTCCTGCTGCAAAGTTTAACTGATAAGAAAAGTAGCTGAATTTTCTCTGTTCCTTGTGCACAGTCCTGTGAATGGAGTTGTGAGCCCTGGGCTATGAAACAGACCCTGCCTGGCTTGGGGCAGGACTTGACTTCTACAGAGAAATGAGGAAATTTTCATGCCCTTGTTTAATCAAAAGAACATTTGTATTGTACTGATTTCAGTACATGAAGATGATCAATATCCATTTTGGAAATACAACTTCTTGCTCATTCATCTGTTCATAGCAGTAAAGTGTTTAATTCCCTCTCTTCTCCACCTTTGCTACTCATTGAAAGACACAGAGGCACATTGACAAAGGAAGTCCAGAAAAAAAATGCATTTCAGAGATTTGGACATTATGCATTTGCTGTCCTACATGAAAGAATCTTGCTAAATGTCAATAAAATTTCGTCTCTAAAACATTGTTTTGAAAATGGGAATTTGTAATTACAGCCTCTGACATTTCAGAATTGACTGCCTTGATTGATTACCCTGGGTAGTAACCAATAACTGAGGAACTTTTCTTACTTTTGCAAAAGATACCTTAAAGTATTGGGGGAGCACCACTTGCGCCTCATTGGTGAGAAAAATGCTATTTTCTCAATGTCCTTTTCATGGGACACATTTGCTGTTTCCAAAGATGTGATGCTATTTCTTGATGGCTTTCCCCACCCTCTGGCTATCTCAGTGTGGGTGTTGCTGATCCTGACAACTGACAGTGTCATCTATTTGGTACCATTCTCCTTGGTGACCCAATAGGCAAAATCAGGCCCTGGAGCTGGACTCAGCCTTTTATGTTCTGTGGATTTTGTCAGGCAGTCTGTGGGGTTTCCGTGCTCTGGTGTCTAAAAACATGTATAATTTTTTGCCCTTTTTCCCCCCAAGCCAGCAGGAGATAACCTTCAACCCTGGCCATCATTCCCTTTCCTAAGTACTCCATCCTCTATTGTTGTTAAATGCTCATCAGCTTCAAGGTTTGCTTTAGACATCATTTATGCTTCTTGCTGAAGAGTAACCTCAGTAAGAGAGGTGCAATATAAAATCAAAATATTTGCTGTCCTCTCCTGTTTCCACTAGTAAAATTTATTTCTCTTTGCATTAGCCAGCCCAAAGCTGTTTTCAGGGAGTGCTGACTTCTCCCAAGATCTTCCTGCTGCTATGAGCCACTGCTTCAGCATTTGCTTTTGCACAGCAAACCCTGTGAGGCCCCAGTGCTGCCAGTCAGGGTCATCTGTGGTGCTTAGACACAGCTTAGGGCACTTCTGGATATCCACATGATATTGGCCAGTCTTAGGCCCCATTACCCTGTCTGTTCATCAGTCGTGTGTATTTAAATATGCATGTGTGTATGTGCACACCCACACACACACAAACACACACAGACATATATATTTGGAGGGCAAATTGGGTTTATATTGGCTCTTGTGGTGCTTTTAGGAATACAAATGACCAATAGAAAATACAGTGTCAAAATGAATCAACTCAAATGGAGAGATTGAAGAGATAAATGATATCTTTTCTTTTTCCGTTCCTCTCTTCCATAACCATTTGAGTATGGGAAAAGCCAGTGGCTCTAGGGTGGAAAGCTGAAGCCAAGTTGATATGTGTCTGCCATGCAAAAATATAATCCTGTTAAATGTAACTAAACCTCCTGGGAAAAATAATCTAAATCTGAAGCACTTGCACATTTTTTTAATCTCTAAATCTTCCATTGCTTCCTAATAATGCCATTGCTTCTACTTAGCTTTTTTTTTTTTTTAATATAACAGCTCTTTTAAAGGCAGATGGAAACCTCATGATGAAACAGTGCAGAAAAATTCCTAAGGGTCTAAAGGGCAGCATGCACAAAAAGAATACAAAAGGACCACATTCTCAGCCATAACAGTGCTAAGTCTGGTTTACACAAATCAGAATCCAGTCAACAAAGAATGGAAGTAGAGAAGCCTGGAAATTCCTATGCTGTGATTTTTATCTTATGAAGCCAGTCAAAGGGAACTCATATAATGAAAAAGTTTGCATAAAAATCAGCATTAAAGAATACAGTAAATGTTTCTTTCTTAAAAACTGACATAGTGAATTTGTTAGGTTTTGCTTGTATGTCTAGTTGATTGTCTGGCAAAAAGCAGAATTTTAAATGAGTGAAAAGTATAATTAGAATTTCTATTTAGAATTATGGGTTACACTGACATAGAACTAAATCTAATTCAATGAACTTTAAAGATTATTAGCTGGTCAAGCTTAGGGAACTGACTCATTTTCTAAAGTCTGAGTGATTTAATGAAGTGAAGCATGTGGCATGCATCTATATACAGATGTGAGTATACCATTCATGTCTGTCTTACCTGTATATGTTACTGCATTAGTCTGGTTTGGGATTAGCAAAGAAAGAGGCACAGTCACAGCTCTGTGTCCTTCCAGAATCAATTACTTTTTTAGTTCTGATCAGATGCAATTTTCTTCCTTAAAATTGTGAGTGACAATGAACAGAGTAATTTTAGAAATATTGATGAAGATCTAAATTTCTATGTACTACTATTGCCAGTGCAGTTAGACCATCTTATATAGGACATGATTATATATGTGAAACAGGAAATCCCTTATAAACACTGTGTTCCCTGGTAGAGTAAACTGAAGATCACAGAAACTCCATTTCCAAAAAACTGACACAAAACTTCATTATCTAGCCACATCATTAATCCTGTCAGAATTTAGAAGGAAGCATGGCTGCCATTTTGCTAATCTCACAAATATTGGTTGTCTCTTCTTTAAAGCATGATGACATGTCCTCACTGATGTCATTAATTAATATCATTAATTCATGTGGGAAGCTGTGAAGTAATGCCAAGGAGTTTGGATGATGGATTGAAGTTGCTCCTGTGCAACTCTGGACTCCTAGTGCCTTACAGTAAGATTCAGAAAATTCCAAGAAAAACCACATTTCATCATTTGGATGTCAAGAGATTAACATTAAGAAGGAGATGAATTTAGCAGAGCATTCTCATTTTTGGAAAGGGGCTGAAGACTAAACTGGGGCTGAACACTAAACTGGGTCTGATCGGTGTTTTAGGGGCTAAGTGTGCCATGCAGTGTGTGAGGTCATGTTTTACTTATCCAGCTCAAATAAACCAGGTTTTCTGTGATGGTGGGTGATCATTGGGGACCATCATGGCTGTAAAAGGAGAATGAGGATAGTGGGAGGAATAATAAAGTTAAGCCATTGCATGCTTCAAGACAGCTGGGGGAAGAGCTGCTGATGTGCCTTTTTGCCCCAAGATAAACTCTTGGGTGAATTTGGGGTTTATTAGCATTTATGCATTGCAAATTGAAGGTAGAGAGCCAGGTATAGCCTCCCCTGAACAAGCCAGGGACAAAACTCTTCTCCACATCACAACATACATCCTTCACTCATTCTGGATACAGGCATATTTCCCATTTTTCAGCAAAGTCCTTCTTCAAGGTTCCTGGGGGTCAGGTGTATCATTTAAAATGCAATTGTCAGGACCTACTGACAGGTACAGGTGAAGTTTGTGTGATGATGTGAGCCCTGTGTGCTTTTTCACTTTTGTTCCCAGTGCTGATTTTTTCACTTATTTGCAATCTTCTAGGTCCAAAAAAATTTCCAAAGCACTTAGGATAGGGAAACCATGAGTCTGATAGGTGTCTCCCAGTGCTACTGTATCACAGATAGCAGTAGTAATTATCACTGTAGTATATAATGAGATAAACAGTTTAATACTGAGCTTCATATACATAATAAATCTGCTCTGAGATCTTTACAGAGCAGTGTACTGATGTGTGTTCCCACAAAACAAACCTTCTTTTTAAAGGACTCATTTCTCTGCATGTCAATACACATATATATATTGTGCATTACAGTAAGTGATGTCAGAAATATGCATTTTAATTGAACAGATTCTCATAAAATGGACATGTAAAATATGTCTACTTTCTACTTTTGAACAGGGAAGGACATGGTAAAATTTCCGTTTTTGCTGTCAAAATGGCCTTGGCAACTCTTTGTGGAGGAAAGATCATGGACAAATTAAGATGTAAGTGATATTTTTTACCATTAAATATTGTTATTGCTGGAGAATTAACAGTGCAAGTAGAAAAGAGGGAATTAGGATAAACTACAATTTCTTGGCTGGGTTTGGGAGTTGCCCTATGTATATCTCTAAGTAAATCCCACTATATGTTTGGTTGAACTTCACACTGAAGTTTTTAAGAACAAATTGCATACATTGAGGTTCTTATTGGTGGGTTTTTTTTTTCCATTGGGGTTATTGAACTTGGAATACAAATAAGTGCCTCAACATCATGAAGCATAATTTAATCATTTCTTCTGATTACTTTTAGTAACATCTACATCTTTTTACACGTAGAAGATCAATATATTTATGTACTATTCGTATTTTCTTCCATAGGGCATTCTTATGCCATGTATTTTGGTGAACAGATTCTCATTTTGTAGGATTTATTCCCAGTTCCCCAATAGCATAGTTTACTTGTTGCTGCAATGGAAGTCTTTCTCTATAGGCATATAATGTCAGGTCCAGAACACCATTTTCCAGACTTTTGACGAAAAACCTTCAGTTTCCACTGAGCCTTCTACCTGAGCCCAAGAAAACTGAGTTTACAAATTACAGTTGTTTACAGTAGACAAGTAGAAATTCCAAGTGCTGATTTAGACTTCCAGATTTGGTGCCATTTTTTAATATATTTTTTCTGTGTAGAAATTCAAATACAGACTGAGCTGAAGTTATAAATTATAAATTATAAATTATAAATTATAAATTATAAATTATAAATTATAAATTGAGCACCATTTTTTCCCTAAGCTGCTTTAAGAATAGGAATTAGGTCCATCCAGTGGAGGGCTGAAGTACAATGATGATTTTTTGGGTCAGCAGTCCCGGAGTCCTGTTGTCAGAATTTCCCTTCCAGGTTCCTGGAAATGAAGCAGCTGACATGACAGCCTGAAAAACAATAAATGTTCCTTAGTCAGAGATCTCCTGCTAAGCAGAGGATAATTTTAAACAAACAGAGAAGTAAGGGCTGACAAACTGACATCACTGCAATAATAAAAGTGTGATATTTTTATGCAGAAGAATGAGGGAAGAGTGAAAAATAGCATATTGGCAAGACCTTCATTGCTTTGTGTGTCCTGTCCAAGACAGTAATAACTGACTTAATGAACCCATTGTCAAGATTTTGATTTGACATGGTAAACTGGCAGCAGGCAAAAAGCTGATGTAGCATATCTTGTCAAATCAGAGCCTTCTTATCTGATTAAATTACTGCCTCGTGCCATGCATCAGACTTTGCTTAAAAATGACCACACACAAAGAAAAACAAATCAGGAATATTTTAGTATTAAAATCAGCTAGTTATTAATATGCAAATAATTCTTCTTGTTTTCTGTTAAAAGAGGTCAGAAATAAAGATGCAGTAATAATGGAGGTTTCCATACGCCAAACATGTTTACTACTTCTCTTTCAAATCAGATGATACTGAACTCAGAGCGAATCTGTAGCTCACACTGAAGCTGCTGTGATCTTTCCTTCTCTTTTCCCCCCTCAGATATTTTCTCCATGATTTCTGACTCCAGTGGGGTGATGGTTTATGGCAGGTACGACATGTTCCTGCGCGAGGTTCTCAAGCTGCCCACCGCTGTCTTCGAGGGGCCTTCCTTTGGTTACACTGAGCAGTCGGCAAAATCCTGTTTCTCACAACAGGTAAATGAAGAGACACAAGTTCTCAATCACCCCTCTGAGCAGGCCAAGATTCTTCCTGTCTTACATATAAGTGCATATTTGCCCAGGAAACACTGGGCTGGATGAGGGGAAGGTCCACTCCGCTGATTTCTGGTGTGTAGGTTTGGTGCCTTCAACAGGAAGCTGGTCTCCGTAGGTTCCCCATACAACCATCAAGAGAGAGGCTTAGTCAAAAAGTGATTCAGAGCAGGGTCTTGACTTACACATTCCTAAATTAGGAAACTTCCTAATTTAAGCACCAGATACATATATACCTTTAGGTATTCTATATATTTATACCCCAAGACATGCAGACCTCCACCCCACTTAGTTGGTGTTGGTATAAGCATACAGAACACTAACTTCTGCATACAAAGCTGAAGTTCCACCAGAAAAAAAAATCAAACTTCAGGTTTTTCCAGTGATAGACATACAAGTTTAGGAGTGAGAAGAAAATAGCCTTAAAACTTCTTTGTAAATGGGAATCAGTATGTATTAGAAAATCCTTAGTCTCTTACCAATAACACCAGTGAGATAGGGTCAGGAAAGCAATGAATTTATCCTGAAGAAAATACAAGATTTTTTTGCAACTCAAAAGACTCCATAGGTACACTGAGTACAGCACATTGGCTTCAGCTAATACATAGCACTTCAGAAGATTCTGTAATTGTGGCTGGTTGTCCACTTCTCCAGTGGAGAAAGAGAGAATTCCTCTGGCTCTTGCCACACATCACACTGTATAATTCCATAAATATGTAGTAAGGGAATATGCTGAAACTGGGACAATGTTAGAAATAAAGTTGTATTTTCCCTCTCTTTATCCTTGCATTTGCTAACTGAATACTGTTGAACAAGTAAGTTCAATGGAGCAGGAATAGTGTCATTTTCATGCAAAATAGAGTCTCATTTTTAGTATTCTCTCAGTTTCATCACTAATCAATAGGCACTCCAGTCAGCCGAAAGGAGATGTTGAAATTCATTTATTGAGTCATCTCCCAATTCATTTTAAATTGTAATGTTTGCATATGTGAAACTAGTCTTGTTCCACAGGGGAGATTTAAAACAGCATTTCATCTTATGTTGAAGAATTTACGTGGTGAAGTGACTTCTGGTAGTTTTGTGTTAAAATAATGCATGGGAACAGGGTATTCAAGCTTTGCATGTTGGTCATGCTGTTATTATGGATGAAAAAAGGAATTTCTTTTCCTGAAAAAATGTAATTCAGGCCTCATTTTTTATCTCAGTTGCCATCAGAAATGGCACTTGCTTTGAGATTGCATCCAGCTGAGTAGACCAGATGCATTAAGGTATCTTTAGAAGCAACATCTTCAAGCAAGCATTAGATGGTTTTGTTTACAAGCTCCACTTAGAGATAACAAGAGTTAAGTCTCTGACTGATGTAGGTACACAGCAGGTTTACAAAGCTGCTGTTTTGCATCTGGAGGCAGCCAAGTACTCTTGTAAATCTAGTCTGATATTTCACTTAAATTGACTTTATGTAGTTCTCATTACATCCTCACTAGGGATGAACCAGAGTTTTGAAATGAAATTCAGATCTTTATGACACCATGATAAATGGTATTTACAGTCTTAGTCACACACAAGTCATTCTTTCTCTCTCTTATATTGCATGTATCATTATCAGAAATTGATAGCTTGGAATAAGTTTGGCATTTTCACTAGTTCTCACAATGGGTCACTTTTGCCTACCAGAAGCCTTTCAACCCCCTGATGTCTAGAGATTCTTCAATTTCAGGAAAATAAAAGATTCTGAGAATTATCTGGTCATGGTGTCAAATCCATTCAGTTTACATCTGAAAGGATTTTTCCTATTGCAGAAATATTTTATTATTCCCAATTCTACTGGTTTGCTTGATCCTACCACGTATTTTCCTCTGCCTGTGAGGTACTACTTGATTGAATGCCTGTTCAAAGTAGAAGCAACAGTGTTTCCTCATCAGCAAATTTGTGGGGCAGAAATGCTGGAGCAAGTGACTTAATGTTTCAGAACACAAATCTGTGGCTCAAAAAGAAGTTTTATCATTACCACTTTCCCCCATAGGTAGGATTGATGTGATGTTATACTGTATTTGTACTAAGCAGTATTGTTATTATTGTAAAAAACACTTAAAAAATATCCCAAACTAAAAAGATAGACACTAACTTCATTTTCTTAGCACTTGTCTAAGTGTTATTCCACAAACCTAGACTCCATCTGTGTGTAGTGTATATTTAGAAAACAGCTTTTGGTTTAAACTTTCCCAGCAGCTGAAGGAAAATTGCAGGAGGAAAATGTATGGAAATTGCTCTGACAGTGTCCTTTTAAGGGACACTGCTTTTTTCTCTAATCCATAAAATCAGTGATCACGAGAGCAGTTTGGCCATAAAGCTGTCATTGAAGCTAAGTTGCCTTATTTGCTGCCAATCAGATTTTAAAGTTATAGCGGCTTTCAAAAGCCCACTGCATTGTGGAAGAGCTTTCCTTGTCTCCTTATCTGTTTGCTTGTTAGACTGGTTGTGTGTATCCCTTCAAGAGCCAAGGGAAGATCTGAGGCTACTCAGCTCTGCAGTATGGGGCACTGGAGGTCCCTTCTTTTCCTGGGCTTCCTTCCACCTTTTTTTCCCCTGTGCTCCCAAGTTCTGCTGCGGACAACAGAGACATTTGCTGACAGCATTGATCAGCAAAGCTGTGCCAAGCATCCACAGCAGAAAAAGAAATCCACATCTTCAAAAGAAAGATCCTTTTCTCTGAGCTGATGCTTACAGCATAGGATACCTATTTGGGAACTGCTTATCTGCTCTCCATGGCTGGGAAGATAATTCATACAACAAGCAGGTGGTAGTGTTTGACTGGACTTTCACACTGCAATTATTCTGGGGAAAGGTAGTACTCCAGTGAGATTTAGAGTTCATATTCTGGCTGTTTCTGTTCATTAAAGAATCAAGTCCATTTCCACAGTAGCCTGAGGTATTTTCTCCTATGGACAAACATCTTCATATCTTTCCAAATATCTTGCTGTGTTTCCTCCCTGCGACTGTTGCAGTGTGAGATGTTTTCCATTGATCACTCACTGTATAAGAGAAATAACATTTTTATTTACACTTGGTGATAATTGTGTATAAATGGAGCACAGATACTCTGTCTGGAAATCTCAGCTCTGAAAAGAATTCCACAACACACAGAGATGATACATGTCACTGCATGAGTGCTGCTTAGCTTCCTCATGGGGTAACCATAGTTCTTTAGCAAGTTAAAGCAGCAGCTTATGCAATCAGATATGAAAATTTAGCCATCCCTTTGGATATAGGGATACTACTTAAATATGTATGTCTATAAAATATATCTGCATATATTCTCAGCAGGGCTCAATATTTTTGCATCTTAAATTTTATTTAAGGAAGGCTCAGTTGCTGGTTGAAAAAACAAATGAACTAGGATTTGTGATTACTTTTTCCAGACACCTAAGAAATTTAAGGCTCTAGATTGCATTTTTAAAATCAACAGGGATATCTTAGAGTTTAAATCTCTCTGAAATTTAAAGGGGCATAAATCTCTGAGTGCTTAAAGGCTTGAAGAGTTCAGGAGCAGTTGCATTCCCTGAGCATATGCAATCTTGACATCCCACAGGCAGAACTCACCCATAACTAGTTGCCATTGCTCCTTAGACAAGCAAAGTTTCTTAAATTATGGCAACAAATTGCTTGTGCTGGTCTCTCCTTATTCTATATTTCTTTCGAATTTGTGCTCCCTTGCCAGTATTTTCTCTCATTTTCTTTTTTCAAGTACCGTCAGCAGTGATTTTTCATTCGAAAATTGGTCATACACAGTGATAGCCCACATCCACTTGTACTTGTCACACGATACTCAAAACAGATGAGAGCATGCAGAGTTGAATACCACCCTTAACCACAAAGCATCTTCAGGCAGTGACTCTAGAAGAGAGTCTGGAAGTGAGTGGGAGCTAAGTGTCTCCAACCCAGCCTTGTGAGAATGACTTCTAGTCATCAGTTGTATCATTGTACCAACTAAAAATAGCCTGGAAAAGCTTTGCTAGTATCACTTGTTCTTTTTAGTAAGTCAGGGCTACAGGCAAACAGTGTTTGAAACTTATTCCCAAGTGTTTCTGTAGAGACAAGATAAAATAATTTTGAGATGTCTAATTACTGATTTTTTTTTTGTGCATGTTTGTTTGCTTGTTTGAGCAGAAAAAAGTCACATTAAACACTTTCTTGGATACTCTCATGTCTGATCCCCCGCCACAGTGTCTAGTGTGGTTACCACTTCTGCATCGACTGGCAAATGTTGAAAATGGTAAGTAAAGAGGCGCTGCCAAAACACAGTTACAAGAATAAACTTTGGTGTGATGATTTTCACACTCTGTAGATGGTTTTGTAAAAGCTACTGTACAGGGTTCATTGACTCCATGTGCTATTTTTACAGTGACTGGTAAAATATTTGAAGTTTGGTGGTCATTCAGCCAGGAACATGGCTTAAATTTTGCTGTGCTCAGGAAGTTAACCTGATTGTGTCTCCTCCCATGCTCTGGAAAAGCAAAGAGCAATAGGACTTCATCCATTCACACACTTATATTTGGTAAACTATCAAGACCACAACTTTTATTAGCTATGACATATGGCAGCAGAGAGGGAGCAGCTTGGCAGTTTCCGTTCATGCAGTATTCCTGGCAGGAGATGTCAGTGCAGTGCAAAACACCAGCCAAAAGGTCCTTAGGAAGGATCTACTCCTAAGTCTACACTGCCAGACCATATCCTCTGAAAAGGAAGTTCCCTGTGGATGGTGTGCATCCATTTTTGGTGATAAAAGGAAAAGGAGGAAAAGTTGTATTTGTTCCTGTGCCAAACAAATCCCTCTTCCACTGAAAGGCACCATGATGGGTAAGGTGATTTTCCCAAGTCTTTTTTGGCTACAGAGAAACCTATCTATCCCACCTTCCTCAAGCTCTTGTCATCCATCCCTGTCCCTCACCAGCTTCGCAGTGTTTCCTAGCCTAGAGCAGAAACCCTTCTTGCTGCAAAATTCTGGCAAGGAGTTAAACCCTGACACATTCAGCACTGATCCAAATTTTCCCAGACTGAACCTTATGACAGTAAGGCAGAGGGTGCCTGGGAATGAGGGGATGTTCAGTACCCTGTGGTAAATTTGGTACAGGCTGTAGCGAGGAAAGAGGAACAGAAATAGAAGTATTGCCTGGAAGGTGCTTCCAGATATCTTAATTGGTGCTTTAGTGTCCTCAGTGACTTGCTTCCTTGTCACTGTCTCCTTCTGAACAGAGAACAGGTCTCTCCAAAGGCCAGCTTTCCAAATCTGGGCATCCAAAGCTACATGTTCAATCCCATATATAGGTACCTAAATGACACCACTTGTACAGATGAGACAGCAGTAATTGAGACGATAACATGTCTGAGTACACTTTCATCCTTTCAGTAGTCATACAGCTGAGTTTGACTTTTCCTCCAAGATACGTCACCTAAGCTGCTTAAAACATAACAAAACACTCAGCTTCTCCCAGTGGTGCAGCTGCAGTGGATTTTGCAACATACAAATTTCCTCTGTCATAGAATGGTGTGGATTGCAAGGGACCTTAAAGATCATGCATTTCCAACTCCCCAGCAGGGACATCATCATCCACTAGACCAGGCCGCTCAAATCCCCATCCAGCCTGGCCTTGAACACTTCCAGGGATGGGTCATCCACACCTTCTTCAGGCAATGCAGTCCAGTGCCTCACCATCCTCACAGTAAAGATGTTCTTGCTAATACCTAATCTAAACTTACCTTCTTTCAGTGAACCCATTCGCCCTTGTCCTGTCCCTACATGCCCTTGACAAAAGTCCCTCTCCAGCTCTCCTGTAGCCCCTTTAGGTACTGGAAAGCTGCTCTATGGATTCCCTGGAGCTTTTTCTTCTCCAGGCTGAACAACTCTCAGCCTGTCTTCATAGGAGAACCTTTATCTTCATGGCCCTCCCCTGTACTCTGTCATGTATTCTGTTAGACACTGAACACTGAACACACACATTTTTTGCTCCTGTGAGCAGGAGGCATGGATACCAGCTCAGAAGCGAAGAAGGGTTTGGTGCCCAGTGTAGGAAGTGTTGCCTGTGGCACAGGTTGCTGTATTTTCTCGGGTCAGAGCTGTCAGCAGCATCCAACGCTGCAGGTTGCTTTAAACAAAGAAAAGATCACCCTTCAGTTTGGTGTTTGTCCATAAACTTTTTCTGGGTGTTCCTTTGTTTTGTTTTTTGGCTCACCATTTCTTTCTCCCACCCAGTCTTCCACCCCGTCGAGTGTTCCTACTGCCACAGCGAGAGCATGATGGGGTTTCGCTACCGCTGCCAGCAGTGTCACAATTACCAGCTCTGTCAGGACTGCTTCTGGAGGGGCCATGCCAGCGGTTCCCACAGCAACCAGCACCAAATGAAAGAGTACACGTCATGGGTAAGGGAAGGCTCCTGCCTCGCTGCAGACTGCTTTGCCCTCCAGCCATCAGAGAAGCCCCCAGCCACAGCTCTGGGCTCGGGCGAGCTGGGAGCCGGGCTGGCACTTTGGATTAGTGACCCTGTCTGGGAGGCTCCGGCCCTGGGAGCTGTCGGGAGAGCGTGGAGGTGGGAATAGTCTTTCCTGGGTGAGGATCTGGTGCGTGCCGCGGTGAGGGCAGCGCAGGAGGGGCTGGCAGCAGGGCAGCAGGCTCATGGCAGCTTCTCCCGTTCCCACAGGACTCACGGTAAAGTCGTCATTGGCTTGCTCTCTTTGGCTACGTGTAAATGAAATGATGAATACTTAATGCTCATTCATCAATATTTTCAGTTGAGTGGCTGCAGCATATGCGTAGCATTTGGGATGATCCTGGCACTGGAGATTTGAGCGTGGTCACGGGCTTAGATCCACAGTAGTGTTTACTATAGAGAAAAGCTCACTTCAGGCTTTTTGTTGTTAATCAAAATAATGCAGTGTTTTTCCTAAGCTGAAAGAGAAGTATCAACAGCTGCTGGAACCTTAACCTTCCCTGAAGGGCATGAGACTTGGAGACTCAGCTTTCCATGGACTGGAGCAAAGCCCCAGTTGACCCCCTTGTTTACAGAGCATCAAAATCCTTCAGGATTCAAACACAAATAGCAGAAAATACATAATTAATTTCAAATATTTCAACAGTGTATTTTTTTAAAAAAGGGAAAATTATGCATACAGCAAAAGCTCCCATTTTTATGGTACTTTGAGTTTATTATTTAACAAAGTTCTGAATTTTAATACTTCTAAAATGTCTGGTTTTCTGTTGATGGAACAGGCAAGGGTTAAATTGGATGTGGTTTGCTCTGTATGCCAGTCATACAGCCCTGCACTGCATCCCAGCAGACCTGGGTCTGTAATTGTTTTTGTGGGTCCTAATTGCTGCTTGTTGCATAGACACAAATGGCCAGAGTTTAGTATCTGAATAGGAAAAGTGCCCACTGTGTAGCTCAGACTCCATTCCTAGCCGCAATTTGTGCTATAAAATCCGTTTTTTGCTGTAGCCAGGGAGCTGTAATTATAGGTAGGAAGTAATTGGAAAACTTAAGATTTCTGCTCAGCGGAAGACAAAAATATGACCACATGCCTAGTGCTTTCAGATGTTTCCTTGCCAGAAACAAATGTTTTGCTTCAAGTTTGAAGTTGTCTTTCTGTAGCATTCATTAGCATTTGTTCAAACCTGGTTGGCATTCTCCATAATGCATCAGTATTGAGCTCCACATGCAGTATACTTCATGTACTTCACTGGAAGTGTTTATGGGTGCAGTGGAAATCAACCGTTCTCAATTCAGAGTGAAATTGCATTTAATGAATGCAAGAGAAAGAGCTTGAACTTTTTGTATTTAGGTTGGATTTCTCTAGTAGAAATATTTCAGTATAGACTTGGTGACAATCATATGTCAATGCGGGATGTATATGCACAAATACAAAATCGTTTCTGTCAAATTCCAGAAAGATTTTTCAATTTCAGCCCATAGAGCTGTGTTTTGGGGAGAGGAGACAGTGTAAGGGTCACTAAGCCTTTTTTACTGGCAGAGAAGTGAATCACAGAGAGCTGAGTTGAATTTCCTGAGAATCCTTCACACAGCCTAAAAGACACCCTGGATCTCAGAGATCCCTTAGAAGGGCAGTTGAGTTTACTCCTCAAGTGCATAGCCTCCAAACAAAACAGAAAACAGAAAATACTGGTTTGTTGTTTTGTTTTGTTTTTTTACACATTGATGAGAATTACCCTTCTTGCATAGACCCTCCCTATCTTTTGGGGACAGTGACAGTACATCAGTCTCTTTTGAAATGCTGGTGCCACAGTGGGGCAATTCCTGGCAAGCCCCTGTCTCAAATTTCCATTCTCCAGTGGTCAGTGGCCACAGGAGGTGGAAGAGAAGCTTTGTAATAGCAGCTAAACAGTACAGGGTACTGGAGGTGAGGAGGGAGATACTAGCGAGGGGGAAGAACAAAGCAGCCTAGCCTGGCCCATATCTGGGAGGGAAGTGATGTCCCATACAGTGTATCTACAGGGACAAGCATGCTTGGATCTGTTCTCCTTGCATTCCCAAGCTGGTGAGGTACAAGCCAGCACCAGCCCAGGTGACACAAACTGTGCTGTTCTTTGTTCAACAATGCCTGAGTGCAGCATTGCAAAAAAGCCATGGCAACTTTCCCTATAGATACACCTCCAGCCTGCTCTAAAAGCTGCTGGAGCTAATAGTAATCCCTTCCCAAATGGAGCACTCTTTGCCTTACCAGACTCTGGGCATGGGAGGGGGGCAAGGGGGATGTCAGTCCATAGGTACCTGAGCTGTTAGAGCTTCTTGTTGTTTTGTGCTTCCTGTAGCAGAAACAGTATGCACCTTACTTGTCCAGATTACCTCTACCTTCCTTGTTCCTCCCAGAAATCACCTGCTAAGAAGCTAACTAATGCACTTAGCAAGTCTTTAAGCTGTGCTTCCAGCCGTGAACCTTTGCACCCAATGTTCCCTGACCAGCCTGAAAAACCTCTAAACCTGGCTCATATTGTGTAAGTATCTGTGTGCTGTAGACAAAGTAAGCTTTGTGGTAGGAGTTGCTTGCACCAAGTGTAGATACTACAGCTCTGAACAAAGCAGGAGGCAGATGTGGCTTGTCCAGCTCAATGCATCACAAGTGCAAATTTGCTGGTGGGGATATTTAGTGTAAAAGTGTTTTTCTGGTGTGACTTAACCTGTAAAAATCAATGGGATATATAGGTATAATCAACTACTGAGACACAACATTGTAATGTTCCCATTCTCCTCAAGAGATGTCCATGCAATTTTATGGAGTTTCAGCACTTTGGGATGTATTGATGCTGAGAACATCAGTTCTGTCATCTAGAGACTATTAACTTCAGTGTATCACAGGTATGCCTTGACACAAGGCGCCAGAGAAAAGTGAAATCAGACCAATTTTGTAAAAAAAGGTGTCAGAGTTCTTACTGACTTTAGTGGAGCTTCTTCACCAAGCCTTGAAGAATTGTGTTAGTCTGCATAAAAAGCAGGCCTTCAACTGCCAAGTCACTTGAAAAGAGTCTATAAGCCTTATGTTTTGATATGTTGAGAAAGCAAAATTATTTTTTGGTATAGTAGCATGTCACTACTTTTTTTCTGCATGAGTCAAGAAACCCAAAGCAGAAAGAAAATGTATTTGTGCAGGGTGAGGAAAGGACGACTTTGGATGAGTTTTTTTCTAAAACATGCCCACTAGCCATAGTGGCAGACACTCCAATTTTCTCATTTATCAACCTGGCTTACCTTTGCTTCTTGGGTCCTTTAAAAAAAAGGGAAAAAAACATTAAATTTCCCATAAAATTAAGAAAAAAATACGACATTGGTTGGAAAAAGGTACAAAGAAATTAAGCTGGAAAAAATATTCCAAAAATACTGCCTTAAAGTATTTCTCTTATTCTGGTGTATTTCTTAAGAAAATATCTTTCTTAACCATGTTCCCAGGGCTCCTGACTGAAGCATTTTGGGCAGCAGCCATTAGAATTGTATTTCCCTGCTGCATAGCTATGTTACTGGCTGCTGGAACTGCTCTAGTCTGTAATTATTATGCATATTTACCTTTGTCCGTCCTGAATATCTGTATGTAGCATCTCTAAGGGCAAGTGCACTCCAGCCACTGTGGGCTGTGCAACACCTGGAAAGTTCACACAACCTAACCTGCCTGGCATTTTTAGGATGAGTTATGCTGATGGACTTCCTTATGTGGTTATAGCACAGCTTCTTCAAGGTGTAAGAGAGTGCTCTGGTCTTCAGAGACAAGGTGCCTCTGACAGATACATAGTGCCAAATCCCTGTCACACTTAATTGTCAGTTAAACCCCCTGCACCTCTTTATGGAAGAATACTGGGAGGATGTTGTACTTTGGCAGAAATGATCTGGAGTTGGATCTGCTGAGCTCCCTCCCTGCTGTGCCTGGCCCTGCTGGCAAGTCAGTGATAATTTCACAGGGCAGATTTTGGCCATCCTTAAGGGAAATGGAGAGAGACAGAGAGCTTGAAACTGAAAGAGAAGCCTCTGTTCCCTGTTGGCAGGGGGATCTTGAAGGCCTGGGGATATGTCAGAATATAAAAGGTAGTGAAAACTGGGCTACTGTGAATGGATTAAATGCATTTAGGCAAGGCAAGGGGAAGGTACCATAATTAAGTAGGAACTGATCCAAATTTTTGCTGTGAAATTAACACCTTCCCTTATTCCTAAATATACAGACAATTTAGAGTGACGGGATGTGAGAACAAACCACCATCTATTCTGGTTTATGACAGTTTCTCTTTATTCATAGTTTGATGGTAATATAGCTTGGCAATCTATATTGGCTACAAGGATGCATGAGTGAGAAAACTGTAAGTTGTGGAGGTATCATGATCTACAGCATAATTGACACAAATTAACTGAGGGCAGAGGTATAGTACAGAACCTTGTCGAGAATATCTTCTCACTGATGCAGTTTTTATTTTTAAACATAATGGAAGTTGAGAAAAACAGCTCTGGGCAGGAATCCAGGCAAAAAAGGGGGTTTATATTTGCATCAGATGGAAGAATTTTGGCAACAAAACAGTATCCTTTTCTTAGCTTCTAGCTTAAATGGGGACAAGTGCTCCCTGAATTACTATAGAGACTTTCCTTTTGTTTGTTCTTCCACCTTTGCCTGGGATCAGACAAAAAGACTGCATGGCTTTTTTGTTTTACTGGTGCCACATAAAATTTTGAATTAAGCAAGAAATACATCTAAAGCCTCACCTAGAGAAATAGTTATCCACGTGTCATAAACCTGGTGGTAGAACTCCTCCCACTGATGAAAGGGTCACTTTTCCTCTCTCTACATAAGAATAGCAACATGAAAGAAAGTCCAGACAGCAGAGATGACAAATGGCACGGCCATGGAGATATTTTTCAAATCTATTCTGCACTGGCCTGACTTCATTTCCATCTTAAGCCTGTGGGAGCATTATTTTTGACATCAGTGTAAAGAAGCTTGGAGCAGCCTGGAGCAGTTTGGAAAATTCCTCCTATTTAATTTGGTTTATTACTGTGGATATATGTTGTACCATAGCATGCTTTTATTACATAGCATATTAATATATATAATACATATTTCAATAGCATCAAATGTTTTCTGCCTCCTTGAGGACAGCTAATTCAGTATCACTTTTATCAGAAAGCTTAATCACTCACTTTCAGGAGTTTAAAAATAACCTCAGAAAGGTATAATTTATAGACAATAGCTGAGTTTTCCTTTGCTTTGCAATAAAGTCTGTTGTTCTGTCTTACCACATCACACAACTCCATGTGTTTGAACATCCATTTGATACTCAGCTGGAACCTCAGGACTGTGACAGTGGGCATCAGCCTTTAGGAAACTTGCCTTGGGAAAGCTCTGGATTAGTTTAACATCTTTTTTTACTATGAGAATTGACAAAGTAATGCTAATCAGGAAACCTTAGCAAGGTCTTGGAGTTTAGAGAAATTTTTACACAAGAGTAACTTTGCTTTTGTAAACAGGTTAATGACCTTTTATGCATAGAGGCTCTCATGCTTTTTCAGATTCAGGGTCATAAGAATGGAGTATGTCCAATGTATTACTTAGACCATATACATATTGAACTGACAATTTAATTAATGATCTCTTTTCCATTTTATTCTGCTGCAAAAGAGATACTTGGTGAGTATTTTTCTTCTTTAGTACACTTGTTGAAGGAAAAGCTTGGAAAAATTGCAATAATCTCGGTATTACCAAAAAAAAAAAACATTAAAAACTTCTTTGTAAGTACATGGAAGACAAAGGACTGCTTCTCAAATTCATGACTGATCATAAATTAAGTTTTTCATGAGGTTCTGCAGATGCAGGGTTAGGTTAAAACTCTATTTTCATATAAATAAGTAACACTCCACACCCTACTTCTTTCTTTTCACAGTTTTAAACTTCTTAAAAATCAGTGTAGCGTTACCTTGCTGAGAAATTAATTTGAATGTTTCAAATACCATATTTTTGCCTGTTTTATTAGAAGTTACAGGACAAAATATATAGTAATAGTTCAGTTCTGTGCAGAACTGGGTTTCTTGGAAATGCTTTGGTTGACCAGTTGTCTTCCACAATTGGAGCCCAGTGAATATTTTGCAAATGGCTACCATATTTCTACTTGCACATCTGCAGAATTCAAAAAGCAAGATAGGTCTTCCATAGAGCCTAAAGGGAATATGAAACAAAGTGAGGTCTGAATTATTGTGGCTTCAGATTCTGCTCATAATTGATTGAAAGCCCTATGATTTTAATAACATACCTTTTAGTTGTTCCTGAGGAGATAGATCTTTTGCCCAATGTTCCATAAGAAGTCTGCTAAGAAGGGGAAATTTCTCCTTAATGGATACAGAAGGATAAAATTACACACAGATTATTTTTAACAGTAGACAGTAAAAGAAAGCAGAGGAAAATTCCTTCTTGTTTCATTTTTTTGTAAAAGTAGGAAATAAAAAATATAATAATAAAATCATCCTCTTTAACTAAATATTTACTCTACATTTTGACTTAGGGATTTGATATACCAGTTAAAAAGTTTTGCCATCAAACCAGTTTAAAATTCCATGTGTATTTCGTGAGATGCTAGGGCTTGGGTACACTGTGGTCACTATGTGGATGTGGCAGCATGGAGCTTAGCACCAGGAATAACTTCATGAAAAGGTGTGTCACTTATTGGCAGTTTGATGCTGCAGACCTCCATGCTGCCACAGAGCCCTGACTGCCAGTGCTCATCCTGGCAGGTTGAAAGCAGGGACTGCACCCTGGACTGTTGCCTCTGGAAAGGAACAATGGTGTTGTGGCTGTTCTACCGAAGCAGGGGGGAAAAAGTTGAGCTGGTTGCTTAAAACTCACCTCAGAACACACAAAGACATTATTTCTCTCCAGGCCTAAGTACCAGTGTGTTTTTATCAACTTCTTGAAACCATTACTGTGTAACCGAAGATGCCAGTTGCAATGTTACTTTGAGGATGCCAGTTGCCACGTTACTTTAAACAAGCTCATTCTGTTCTACCTAAATACTGTTGCTGATGGAGGGGGTTTTGGTGCAAAATTAATGCAGCTGGATATTTTGCCTTTCAGGCCCCCCCGACCTGTAACCAGCATGAACGACACACTCTTCTCCCATTCTGTTCCCTCAGGAAGTCCCTTTGCAAACAGAAGGTGAGTTCTTATTTATATCAAACCATTATATGATAGTGGTGGAAGTTTCAATTTTCAGTTCCCTCACAGGGGTAAAAAAAAAAAACAAACCCTCTCACCAAACCCAAACCTAAACCCAGTAAAATCAAGCGACGTGGGCAGAGAAATGTCTTGGTTAATTTGGACTGGTACCCAGACATCTGAACAGAGAGCTGGAGTTAAGGCACCCCAAGCTCCCCACAGCAGAGCACTGAATTTCAGTTCTCATTTGAACCATTCTGACCCACTAAAAAGTGCTCACATGCAACCCCAGGCACTCTCCCATAGGGACCCAAAATGGGCTGTTGGTGAAAAGGAATTTTGTAACAGCACTATGGGAATAGGAACTGGGATGTGCCATTGCCTCCTGGGAATGCCTGCATCATACCACAAGATATGGATGAACAAAGGGATGTCTTCATACTTCCAAGACATAGCAAGACATCCTGTTAAATTGTTCTGATTTTCATTAAAATCAACAAGGAAGAAAGAGTAGTCTTGGAATATGGTGACTGACCCTTCAGTAAACAAACCAGGGAAGTCTCATCAGAAACAAATCCCAAAGAGGAGGTGCTTGCAGCTGACTGTACATTTTGACTCAATATTTTGGCTCATCCAGCCAAAATATGTGTGTAGCATTTGCTAGCTGTCTGACCCCATCTATGTGAGCTTACAAATGCACATAGGTAAGAAGGTGGCAGGAAAATAACTTCCTGCTGTCTTAGGGAAGATGAGCAATGTGTCTTCCTTGGGTGCATTTTATTGCTTGATTCCTGCTGTGTGTGTCAGTGCTTCAGCATTCCCAAATGACTAAACACAATCTCTGGATATTCACAGCTACATATTTTACCATCAAAACTGAAACCAAACCTGCAGTGTATACTGCAAAGTCAGAGTGCAGATGGTTTACTACTTATTTGATTTATGAATTTTGTTACCACAAGCTGTAAATTCTGTGTTGTCTCAGTGCAAGTGGGTGTGACTGAGATGCTTTTTGAAAGCCAGTCCCAAAGCAGCTCCCAGGGCCAGATCTGCTGCCTATACAGAGAGACTGCAAATGCAGATTCATTTCTGTAGTTGGAATATATGGGGGTTTATGTGCAAGGCAGAGTAATGTATTTGTGGCCTCTCCAGGAGAGGTCGCTAAGAGCAGCACTCTTTAGGAGTGTTGCTGGTGCTTCTGTCTATTCCCAAGACATCCCTGTGCTTGATTAACAAAAGTACACTGCTCCTTAGGCCAGGGACCTGCAGTAACACTCACAGCACTGTCTACTGTGCTGCTTGTCTCTCTTTGCCTGTAAAACATACCTAATTATTTTACTTTTGTCTTCTTTGGTAACTGACTGTCTTTAACTATCAGGTTTAAATGTACATGATTCCTGAACTGTTAGAGTTCCTTTTTGTCCCTAGAAAACACTCCTTGATGAGAATCCCCTGAAGGCAGGTGATAGTACCACCCCCCTCAAGCATAGGTACCCAGACTTCATATAAGTGGATAGTGTGACATCCCTGTACAGCTAAAAGTTTCCATGATACAGCAGTCATTCTGGCTTTTTTAGAGTTAACTGTACCCTGATATGTAAAGTGATTACATTGATTGTATATGAAAAGTTTTGTCACTTTTGTTTCATTGACATAGGAGGATTTTAGGAGTTTGACAGCTAATTCTCATATTTTTATTTTCACCTTTTACAAATTTAATTTGCATCTTTTTATTGGAAAGGAAAAGCACCCTAAAAACAACCAAATCAGTACTCTTTCTAAATAAATTGGATTTATTGTTACGAACCCTCTCTGAACACTCTGCTCTCTGTATATTCTTTTTGAGGTATTAACAAGGTTTCATTGTTTGAATCATTCAGGTTACTTGGGGGTATAAATGCAGCCAGTCCTGTGGCTGATGAGCATTCTCTTATAAAGCTGTATGTAAATCAGCTTCACAACAATTCACGGTCAGTATGAGAGCACTAACCCTACTAATCGCAGTAGTTCTGTAGCTCATGCACTAAATCATTAGCAATTCTGCTAAACTACTCAAAATATTCTTTAAGGAAGGCTCTGATGGGCTAGAGGGTTTCTGTGGCTCTAATTAATCTTTTGAATAGACTTCCTGCTGGCTGTGGGCTTTGCCAACGTCTCTTGCTTCTGCGCAGCACAACTCTTTCCTTTTTTCCCTTTCACGTAGGATTAATATTAATGTGTCCTGTGGAAGTTGGAAACATTGCTTTTGTAAACTACACCTTTATGGTTCCATCATCAGTGTATGACTTGCCTGTTGTGTTCTTGACTAAGGAATGAAAGAGGCTTGCACAAAAGCCTGGAAATGATTTCAGGTCTCACAGCCAGCCTCCTCTGCCTCAGCTCTCTCTGTGGGTGGCTGCTGTTCTGCCCTAAGCACTGCTTGCCAATAACCCTCCCCAGACCCCTCAGCTTTGCTTTTCAAAATGACCACAGGAAAGGCAGATCTAAATCCTCCTGAAGCTAATGAAAACTTCCCATTTATAGTGAGCACTGGATTTGGACCCCTGCCTCTCGTTGCTGAACCCTTTGTCCAGCATTCCCTCACATCTCAGTGACCTAAAGGAAGATCCTGTTTCATCCTGGATAAAAGAAATATGCAATTGCATAAGAACAGTTTCCCCACCCTTTTTTTTTGTGGAATTATGTGGAAATTTCCTTTTTTTTTTTTTTTCTTGTTAATCCATGAGCATTAACGATAATTCAGTAAGAATTATCGATATGAAGGTACTTTTCTGCTAAATGCCAAGATCTCCAGTCTGGGTTAGACTAGTAACTGTATCTTCATTCATTCTTTTAAGTTTTACTGTTATTATTGCCCTGGGAAAATCAGGCCCCATTAGTGGAAGCTCTCCCTCTTGAACATAAGAGAAACAGACTTTGATGGCTCTGTTTGCAATGTGCTGGTTTTATATTAAATACTCCATGATTCATATTATAATAACAAGAGTACAAACTCAGAGTAAAATTTCTAGCTGGATGTAATCAACACTAAAAGCTCTGCTGGCTGTGTTTTCACTGCAGATAACTTATGGTTACTTTAATTTGTGTTGCAGTCTAGTCCAGAGGTTTCAGATAGCTTTAAGTGACGTTTTTATGTAATTTGAATGTTTATTCAAAGGAGAATTGGCAGAGAAAGTCATTCACAGCATTCCCATGGTATTTATTTCAGCTGCTTGTGTTCACATAAGAACATAGCCATTCTAACCAGTTCCTCCCTGTGGCAGCAAATGCTAAATTCAGCACACCAGCTCATTCTGCTGCTGGAAATGGAGAGCACCTCCTAAGTTCAGCACACGACTATATTTCTGGACATAGGGATGAAAACTGGAAATTACCTGGGAGAATGGAGAATCTTGTTAGAGGAAAGATCTTTGATAATTGGTAAATGCAGTGACAAATTGTGGGGAGCAGCTGAAAGGAGATGGAACATTATATACTATTTACACTTTAATTGCATCTGAAGCACTGATTTTGGGTGGGTACACAATTACTCCATAGCTCAAAGGAAGCTGGGTTCAGGCTTTCCCAAAGATGCTTTTTAATTTCTTAAATCTGCTTTAGAATTAATGTCCACTTAAAATTGTGCTTGTTTGCTTAGTTTGAGCCAGCAGGTCCATAACAGAGCTTTAATGAGGAGGTTGGCTTAGCAATTACAAGCACCTTTCTTCTTAATGTATACAGTGTGGAATTTGGTATCAACAATATGCTCTGCACAGCTCAAGAACAGCTTTAAAGCACTTGTGCTAGAAAAGAAGAAACAAAAAAGTCTGTGATCTTCTCCCAAATACCAAATCATCGTCATTTGCTGTTGACAGCTAATATGATTACAACCACAAGGCCTGTAATTCTTTTGTTGTAGCTAATATTCAGGGATTTCTCTCAATTGTTTTTGCAATTTCCAATGGCTTAGAAGGCAGCAGAACAAGGGAAGATTACTGCAGAATAGGTAATGCCCTTGCAAACCCAGTGATTTGGATATGTTACATCAAAACAAGCAAACTTAGCATTATAGAAACTTTTGTCTGTTCAAGAGAAATAACTCTATACACTGAATTAATGTTTTTCTTCCTTATTTGAATAATTTTGTTTCCCTGCTGCAGTCTGTCATGCTGACTTAAAGTATATAGCTGCCATAATAATGGGTACAATGTCCTGCTCTTTCTTTATAAATGTTTTCTTTAAGCTATTGAATTATTGTGCTTAGGTAAGATAAGATGAAACAGAATGGTTTTTCTTGCATTTTTCTCAGCCCCTCCTTCGCAGCTAATGCATTTAGTTCTTCTAAAGGGGTAATAAACTGGAATAAATGGTGTGATGCAGCTCATTCTGGTGAACTTGAAATGACTTGGCAATTGTATGATAGATAGGAAGAATGCACTGTGATATCTGATACCCATAGCCAAAGAGAAATTGAGTCTTATTCAATCCTGAGTCAGAATGGCTGGTGCCTTTTTTGAACTCCACATAAAAGTTAAAGGAAATGGTATTCTAACTAACAATATATTCTACCTCTAACAAGAGATTAGGCCAGATTTCTATCATCAACTAACTTGGAGCAAAACACACTGGATTGCTGCTGTTCTCCATGTTCCTGTCTCTAAGGAGCATGGTAGACTTCAACTGCTTGCTGTCTTGGCATGTTTTTTTCAGAATAAGATGAGAAACCTTATTTCAGCAGAATATCAGCAATATTCCACCTGGCTAAAGGAAAGGTTTATATGTTTGATTATTTAGTAGCCAGATAGACACTAATGAGGGCATAACTTTTGCACCAATATTATTAGGTCTGTATCTTTATAGACATCTGCTCACAGCTAGAAGATTTGTCTCTAAATTTGGATGGAGAAGCATTACTTAGCATCTTACAAGATGTTCCATTTTAGCAGGAATATGTCTTTAAAATATCTGTTCCAGTTGGAAATTCTCTGTGGCCAGAATGATCTCTGAAGTATTAGTTGTATTTTGGGGAATATGTGGAGGATGTAGGAAGATATGGAAGAACAAGAAGGACAAATATCAGCTCTTACAAATGAAGGAGGGTTGAAGGTGGAATTTGGGACAAAGGTGAAAGGGATTATAAAGGAGGCAGCCTAACCTTGGTATCCAAAGATACTGAAATTGTAAAAGAGTTATTAAGCATCTGGAGGATAATAAACAAGATATAACCACCATAGATTTGTCAAGAACAAATTATATCAACCAAACTATTTTATTTCATTGACAGGATGACTGATCCAGTGGGTAAAAAAGGAGGCAGCACATACAATACAGGTTGACCTTAAAACGACTTTATACATAGTCCCAGATGACATAGAAGAACCCAAAGTAAATACAAACATAGGGAAATTAGTAAAAGAGCAACATTGAAAATGAATAATGAGATTTTCAGAAGTTTGCTGTCGCTTTAGGAGAAGGACATCTGCTGGGATTGTTGAAAGCTATCCTAAATTAGACACTGCCCTATTTCTCATAGTGACTTAATGGAAGCAATAGAGTGAATACATCCAATTTGTAGGTGGTCCAAAGGTTGAAGTAGTTGTGGAAGAGAGTGCTTGGAGAGCAGTTTCTAAATAAAAGTAGCTCAGTAGCAATGGTAGTAATTGATGTCCAAATGATCTGAAATCAATTACAGGAAATTCAGTAATTATAAGTGAAAAGTGCTGTAGCAAGGAAGCAAATAGTCAAATAAAAGATGGGAGCGTAATTGGATGGATAGAAATATTTTTAAAGAGGGCCTAGCAGTTGCAGTGAACCACAAACTAATTGAAGTCAGCAATACAATTGTTAGATTGCATTTGACCCTGGAACATCATGTGGAAAGCCATTAAAACTCATTCCCCAGAGGAGGAGACATCTGCCTAGAGGTTTGCTTGCAGTTTAGGGCAGCAGCATGGGGGTAGATATGCTAACCAGCGTGTCTGGAGTCCAGAGGAGACACCCAAACATCAGAAAAACAGAGAAAATGTAACTCATGAGAAAAGGTTGGAAGATTAAGTTTGCTTAATCAACTAAAAAGGAAAGGGGCATGGTGTCAGTTGCTCAGTGAGTAATCCTTGCTCACCTGTCTCTGCACACTGACTGTGTGGCCTCTGGAGCATGGGAGAGAGGAACCTGTGGTTGGTGGAGGGCACACTGTTAGAAAGCAAGGCACAAATCTACCCTGTGGCTTTCGGTCTCCCACTGTGGCAAGGTATTTATCTGTACTTTTAGAAGTGAAAGGTGCATTTTTGGCTGAAGTGGCACACCCTGTACCCCATGAATGCTGCATAAGTAGCATGCTGGTGGGCAGAGAAATGTGAAACAAGCATTTTTTTCTTGCTGTGCAGTACAGCATTTTATTCATTTATCTTACAAATTTATTATAAATAAATAGGTTTGAGTTCTTAGGACAACCTTTGGTCCCATCCTCTTCAGAACCCTACTGCCTACCTTGCCCTCCCAAAAGGAGGGGAATTACACAAATCTCACCTCCTTGAATGCCTTCTTCGTCCCAATATTGAAGGTTTTGAAGATTACCAGGCACCACATTTGTGCAACATTACCTGTCTACACACACACACAGAGACCCATACACCCCTGGATGCACAAGTGCATCCATGCTTTCGCACCCATGAGGTGCCAAATAAAAAAAAAGGTGATTAATTTTTAAAAAGAAGAAAGTAAAATATAATTTTGTTTTGCTTTGTTGTTTCTTAAAAACAAAGAAATGCTGCAGCATGAAAAGAAAAAAAAGAACATTTTCAATGCTTCTCAATTTTAGCCAGTGGTAGCTTGTTAACGTGGATATTTAAGTGTTGGGAAAGAGGCAGTTACTGCAATCCATTAAATACTGTAATTAGGAAGAAAGTGTGTTTGGTGACCTATATATTATTTTAAATCAACAGAACAACAGTACTTCTGAAAATTAAACTGCTGCATCCCATCACTGCATCCAAATAAATACCTTTCCATAGATTATAGAAACCATCTTACAGTTAATGTGGAGAAAAGCAATTTAGCTGTTATGGTAAAGCTTTCCCAGCTCGAAAGCAGCATTTGAGACCGTGTTTATCTCGGACTCCATCTGGAAAATACACAAGCCTTCATCTCTCCATTTGAGAGAGAAGCACATTTTGTTTGTCATTTCTGTAGTGGAGGCTTTAATAGTTTGCTTTTGGAGAACAGGAGGGGAAACTTGTAATTCCTGATCTTGCATTTCCTGATGTTTTCTGGAATTCCTTTAAAGCTTCTATTATTTTTATTCAGTCCAGGGCACTCAAATGAGCTTCTCCAAACTCTGTTCTATAATGAATTTCAGACATCACTGTTTACCCTCTTCTTAGTTTTCCTGTCTTGTTAACTAGCTCTCCTTCCAAGAATACTGAAGTAGAGCAGAGCAAACTGCTGGCTAGGGCTGCTCCAGCTTTCTTGAAAGGCAAAGGGTAAGTTAAAGGGAGAGTATGTTCTTAACTTGCACTAACACAGCTAAACCAAAACATTTTCCTCTATTCCTCCCATTTTTAATGTATTCTATGTGCATTTTTCCTGAGAAAATTGTGATAAGCAATTAACCTAAGTAAGGCATGTTTTAATATATGTATGTACACCTGGATGCATAAGATCTTGATCGGACACTTCCAAGCAAATCCAGCTTGTGAATTCAGTGTGTCAGTCATTTATGTTACATATCTATATTAATGGTTTTGTGCAATATAGAGTATATTACACTAAATAATGCTGACCTACAATTTGCTGTATTTTGTAATAAGTGCTACTGTACAGCTCCAGAGCTTCAACTGTACAGCTCCAGAGCTTCAGTCCCTGGCCTGATCTGGCATCTCACTGATTTCTGAGGCTGGCTCTGTCATCAAGTGGGATGCTACCATCCTAAATCACTAAACACTAACCATATAAATTACAATAATAACAAAATAATTTCTGCACTTGGCGTGTTGTTTCTTTTTTTTTTTTTTTTTCTAAGAACACTGAAGTATTCATTCCTAGATTCCCATTTCACAACCTTGCTCCTGCTCTCTGTGTGTGTGTGTCTGTCTGGCTCACACCCTGCCCCTGTTGCAGGTTGCAGTACAGCCTGGATGTTGCAGACAGGCTGGCTGATGAACACGTGCTCATCGGGGTCTATGTCAACATGCTGCAGAGCAGCCCCGCACGGTTAGTGCAGCTTGGGCACCTTGGGGGCACCCAGCAAAGGGACCTTGCTCAGACAAAGGCTCTCCCTGTTCCCTTCCTGCCTGATGAGCTGGAGCAGCTCTTCATGAGCACTAACCTGAAGTGAATGTGTATGAATATGGGGTATGTCCTCCCAAAGTTGGTGGACTGTGGCACTGGCTGCTATTCTCTCTACTGAGGCTTGCAAGGTATTGCCAAGTATTGCAAATAATTGCTTAGTTAAGAATGGCTAGGCAAATTGTTTGGGATACTGAGCTCTAGGCAGTGCAGGACTTGGTGGTAGTGCAGAAATCTTCACACAACAATGACTAAACGAGCCCATGTTTTCCAGGTATTCATTTTTGAGATCATTTATAATTTGTAGCTTCACCTTCCTTGAAAGTTAGAAACTGTAATAGTACATAAATAATTAAATCACAATAATAATTTTCTTACTAACCTGGTGAGAGAAATTAATTTTGATTTTTACATATGTCAGGCATTGCTTTTAAATCTGCCTAATTTCTGCATTGTTTGAATCTTATATACAAATTTTCCCTTCTTTCAGGAGTTTTAAGTGGGTATTTTCAACATAATTAATTGTTAGAGCTTTGTCTCCTAAACCCATCAGCTGTCCTGGCACTTGAGATGCTGGCATTGCAGCCCACCACGCCAGGGAAGGGAAATGCTGCCTCAGCTCTTCAGAGCACCAGAATTCCATAGACTTTGCAGCCTTGTACCAGCAGAGCGGTGAGCAGTATATGGCCCTAGAAAATGTGGTGCTGAGCAGAAAACTGTACAATGTTTCTATCAAAACTATGATCAGGAGGTTTATTTTGCTCATAGCAAACCCTTCAGTTTCCTGTGCTGCCACTCCAGAATATTTCCTGGGTTAGAAGAACGTCTCCATTTACTCCAGGATGTAGGAGGCAATAAGCAACTTCATTTAGGAGAGTGAACGCAATGGTTCTCTGCAGTCTTTAAAATTTCACTTCTGCATGTAGCCCCTGTTGAAAATGGGAGTAATTTGCCATGCCCAGTGGATAAAAAAGTCTGCCTCCATTGTCCTGGATCTGCTTCTCTACTCTGTAGCCCACTGGAATGTGACAGTGGTGGAGGGTTGAAAAGGCAAACTAGGTTTTAGTGAGGAAAATAAAAACCCTTTATCCTTAAAAAAAAAAACATTTTCAAGAGGAATTTCATTCCTGAAGAAGCACTTCCAGAAATCAGGCTTATTGAGCAATATTGACATTGTGGATGTGAAAGCAGGCTCTTGGGGGCATGTGTGTGACCAGGCATTGCCCACCCATGACTGAGGACAGGAATATGCTGCCACTCAGTCTGGTGTGACAGGGAGAAGGAAATGTGGCCCTGGCTACCATGAGAGACTTACTTGATATGATTGTTCAGGAGGGGAGTGAAGAATGGGCAGGGTGGTGCTAGGCTGGTTTGGCAGGCATAGCATTTTGGATGCCATGTCTAGGATTCATTTAGCTTAGTGAGGGCTTCCAGTTCCTCCTGAGACCTCTTTGTGAGCACCTCCCCTCATCTGTACTGTTTTCATCCTCCAAATTTTATTCTTTATATTCCAACCTGTTCCCTCAAGGCTTTGAGCCAACATCACCAACTCATAGCACCTTTGTTTCCAAATATACATATACAAATCATATGCCATGATATTCAACATTTATTTGGTTTTGAGAAATGAGTGGGGGAGTGACTGACAACAACCTTAATTGTTTAAACAACTGATGCAAAGCACAGTACATAACATCTGATTACTGACATTAAATCACTGCAGTCACGGCATCCTCAATGAGAAACAATCTCAGTTATTTGTATAATTAGATTTTGACAGAAACATAACCTAGAGGGACAGTAGTCTTAGTCAAGCATCAGACCATGCTGCATTGCCATTTTCTGCTTTGTTGGACCAAGACTGCTAGTAAAGAAATAGAATGGTTACATTTTGGTAAAAACAAGAACAAAATCTTGCCATCCTAGAGCTCCTGTGTGAAGCCAGTTTACAGAGGAATAGGTGAGACCTCTGCAGGAAGCTCAGCTGCTGCATCTCAAAGTCTGGGGTGGCATCTTCAGGCAGAGCTGACCTCCTCCTGCCCATGCCCCAGAGTGGCTGGATGCACTTTGCTCAAAAACCCACACATTTGTTCCAGGATGGTGCTGAGTTGGTGCTGAGTTCAAGTTATTTCACCCCGCATCTTAAGGAGGTTTGGTAACCTGAGTAAAGCATGCAGTTAACCAAAATGAGGTGGCTTCTGCTTTAGGGGAGGCTGCAGCTGGCCAGCTCTGCTGTTCAGTCTGCCTGCAAAATGCTACCTGCACATCCCCAGACATCAGATAACTCAAGTGCTTCTGGCAGCCAAAGCTGAAAAGAGGAATGATTGTAGCTGGACCTTTATCTGCAAGAAAAACCTGCAGAGACTCTTCGTGAGCATAATACATAAAATTATCTGAAGAGCTGTATAGTAACATTTAAAAACAAAACAAGAGTTGAGGTTTTTTAGATACTGAGGCTAATTTATAGCCTATCGTCAGTCTAATATAACCCAGTATAACTTTGTTTTTGTTTGAAGTGCAGCTAGTATTTCTATTTTGGACTTTATAGGATATTTTTAATTCATTTAATTAATTTTCACTGCTTATCTTTATTTTTCATCTCCAGTTATTTGATACTGCAAGTAAAAGTACAAGTTTTCCTTTCCTTCTACCACAGGCTAATAAGCTACTTGAGGGTTTCTTAGAAGCCAGTACTCCAGAGCAAATTAATAAAAAATAGGAAGAATTAATTCATTATTTATAGTAACTGTATGGGTAGAAAAATTAGCCCTTAGCCAGATGTTTTGAATAGTTTAATTGCAAAGTCTTTTTTAGTATTTAAAACCAATATTTGACACTTACTTTATCTTTAGTGTCTGATTCTTAAAAAGAATTTTTAACTGCAAATAGTTTCCATTTTTGTAAGATAGAGACTTTGCCTAGCTTTGAATAATAATTCCATATATTTCAGTCTTTTTCTTTTCAGGTACAGAAAAAAATAAGAAATTGAAAGAGGTTATTTTGGTTTCATAGAGAGCTGTTTTCTGGGGGTTTTGTGTTATACTGCATAGTACTATGTGAATTCTACTTCTGTATAAAAGTGCTGTACTACTCTAGGGTATATTTTAAAATGTTTATTAAGGGGGTGTGCAGAACTCTAGGTGGGAAGGCTGGTTTAATCTTCCTTTGAAAGAGGAAAAGCATTCAGAGACCAGTTGCTACAGAGGAAATGTATAGACATTTAGCTCCCTTGAACAGAGTTCAATTTTGTGATTATTCCCATATAGCTGAGTGATATTTTGGTGGTAAAATCTCAGTCACTCTAAAGTAAATGGCAAATTAACAGTAGTAGAGGACTCAGATGATTTGTCTTGGTTTAAAGTGTCTTAAAACCAAGCCAGTTCTGAAAGTGTGGCAGTTAAACAGTCCTCAGAGAACATTTGGTGTGTTGCTGTTATGCCTCTTTTTTTTTTTTCAGCCCTAAGGCTTAGAAACTGACCCTTTAATTTGTCCATATTTTCTATAGCAAATTATTTATTAAGGAAGGGTTTGTAGACTAAGAACATGTCATGAAGACTGCACTGATACTTGTCTTGCAAAAATTTCACCAGAGACTTTTCTAACCAGCAGTGACAGAGTTGTAAAACCAGCAGGGAACATCCACATCAGCTGTTGCCAGCTGCCTACTGCAGAACAGGCTGGTCTGACACATCTGAAGCCTGAGAAATGGCAAAGATCCTCCAGAGTCACTCCTTTGCCCATAGGTTATCATGTTTTTCATCCTTTGCCTGCAGTTTTGAGATCCCTTTTTTTAATGGAGCTGCCTTAGACCACAGAAGTCCCCTTGTGCAGGTGCTAATTGGATATTCACTCTACATCTGAATGGTGATGGGTGCCAGACCAATTCTTGCTAATAATTATAAGGTTTTTAAATAAATGGTCACTAATGGAGAAGCAGTGATTTTTAGAAAAGAAGGAACAACATTAGGATATTTGTATGCAAAATGTCCAGCTTCTCTCAAAAGGATGCCTGAGTCATTCCCCTGGGGTCCCAAATTCTGCACACACATTCATAATATTTTAAACCTTTTTTGTACAGTTGTCTTGCTGTATCACTGTATTGTTTTCTGTGAAGTTGGTGAAGTAAAACAGAACTGAATTATGGTAAATCTGAGAATTCTGAGACATAAAATTCTTGGCAGTTGAGGCTAATGCTGCTGTGCAAACTTCTGTGCTTAATGGTCACATAGAATAGGTATATTCCAGAAGTCTATTTATCTCAGACATTGAAATTTAATTTTCAAGGCTTTGGGGTTAGTGATTTGCAGGGCTCATAGACTAAATTTGATGCATTGCTACATCTACTTTATGACATCCACCCACACATAAATATATATCAAAGACATTAGGTACAAGTAAGACTCAAAAAGCTGCAGTAGCTTGGTTCATTCAGTAAAGCAGTTGGCTTAGGTGTTAGCTCACATCTCAGAACTCTGGTGCAGATTGGGTTATGCCAACAAGTGGAACCATAATCCATTTTTCCAAGATGGATATGGCTGCACATTGCCATAAAAAGGAGAATTGATGCTGAATACTTGCTGTCTTCACAACCATCTGTTAGGATGCAATGTTTTGGTCATTATGGTAAACTAAAAATTAATTAAACTGTCATAAAAGTAACCCCTATTACCCAGTTTACATAATTTTATGTGTCTGCAAGTGTTGCTCACCCCTTTCTTTCTCTGGGTGACATACTAGTACAGTAAGCATGAGTATGTAAGAAGCAGAACTCTGTAAATTTAGAAAAGTGCCTTTAGCTTTGGTCTTTCCCAGAGGTATATCAGTTTCCCCACCAGAATCTCAGTAAGTATAAAATTAGACTGTGTATGTAACAAAATAAACATAACCAAAACCAGAAAGTCAGTGTTCATCTACCACCAGAAGTCTTACATGCAGTCTGCAGGACAAGTTTTATTTACACAGAACCTCTCTGTGTCTCACTTTTCAGAGCTTTACTGTTTTTCTAAACTTCATGTTTGTGGTCTCACAGGTTATTATCAGAATGAGAAAAAGATGATGTTTGTCTCTTTTCTCTTGCATCACTAAGCTGTAGCAAATCCACATGACACCCAGCTTTAGTTTCATGATCAGTGAATATCAACCACTGCTCATCTTTCAAACATAACTTTTAAATCCCAGTGGATTTAATAAAGCCAAACAACACATGTGCACTGTAGTTCCCTGAAGGACACGGGGATATGAACTCACTGAGAAGTTTTAGAGAAATATTCCTTTTAAATATATCAGTTCTTCAAAAGCAGAGCTTTTGGTACAAGTGTGATTTTCCTCTGGAAGGCTTTTCGAGTTCAAGGTACAATTTCTGGGAAAAAAAAATCAGAATAAAATCCCATGCCCAGACTCTTTTGAAGCTTGTTTGCCAGCAACCAGTTACATGCCCAGAAGAGCCCGTGGGCAGGGAGATTTGTTCCTGTTTCCCTTCAGCCAAAAACCATTATACAGTAGCCAAAGGATAAGAAAAGAGGCCAGACTTGCCTCTGTCTGGGAAAGTCTACAGGCAGCCTTGTATTCCACATGGCAATTCCACATTCCTCTCACCTCTTCTTAGGGACTTCATTTTTTCTCTCTTATGTATACTAGAAGTAATGCAGTATAGGATTCTAAAGACCAGGATTATCCAGGGTCAACTAAGTCCTTTTCAGATTTCTGAAAAGGATTTCTGGTTTTGTTAGCTTTGATGTTTGTCTGCAAACTTCTTAATGTTTAAAAATAGCGAAGCCTCTCACTATATTACTTTTCCTGCTCATCTGACTAAATAATAGCTTCCTCTTAAAATAAGGACAGTTGGAAAAGCATTAACCTTAGAGAAATATTTGTATGTTATATTCCTGGGGGAGAAAAGATAATAAGGTGCAATATTTTAAAGGAATTCACCATTAGTTCTTACACTTGTTGATCACAGTCACTTAGCACTGTGAAGTCTTGCTCCCAAATAGCAAGAAACCAAGAATAAAAGAGAAAGCCTGATTATAAATTCCTAGGTCAGTGATCTATGAGACCTTAGTAAGTGACCTGCAAAACTGTCCTAAACACTGTTTTCTGGAGCAAATATCACAAAGCTTCTAAAGTTTTTCTCAACAAACACCGAGGCTCCTGCTAATCCAATGGCCAAAAAGTAGTCTTCCAGGTGATATGGTAACATTGTCATTATATCACAAAGGTTCCATATTGTTGTTTTCTTATTGCAAGAGTTTCATAGCTCCTTGATGTTTCTCATGGGCATTTCCTCTAAGCACTGATTCTTCCTTCTCCTCACAGTAGCCAACTGACTCCCATTCCCCTCTCAACCAGCCACCCCACTCTTTTATAGCACTCTTCTTCTCATTGGCTACAGCTGTGGCCTGTTAAAGTCAGGCCTGTTCCTAATCTTTGATAATTGGCCCAGCTGCAACTCCTTAGGGGTAAGATTGCTTTCTATACTACCTTTATTTTCTTATATTCTATCCCCCTATATGACAAAGCTGAGCTGCAAAGTAATGTGGACTGATGGTCTTAACCACTTCCTGACCCTTTTAGGGCAGAGTAGTCTGCAAGCTGCATCCTGTACAGCCTTTACTGTGGGCTGCAGAGCACTGCTGTTTTCTCCCTAAGGGAAGGTGCTGCCCAGCCCCTGAGAGCTGATCTTTCCAGGGAAATTCTCCCCCCTTTGCTCCATTAACATCAGCTGTTCCTAAGTGGGTGACGGTTTGCTCCTTTGCTCTGACTGGTGTATGGGGGTGTGAGGTGGTGGCTGGCTGAGGCAGAGGGTGTTTTTGCCTGGGGGTGTGAGGTGGTGGCTGACTGAGGCAGAGGGTGTTTTTGCAGTGTATAAACCTCTCTTCCCATTTCTCCCTCCCTCTGAGCAGCGTCCTTGACAGTGCAAGTCGGCTGGATGAAGAGCACAAGCTGATCGCTAGGTATGCAGCAAGGCTGGCAGCAGAAACTTCTTCATCAGTAAGTGTTTTAATTAAAGGAAGGTACTTTCCTTCTGTTGTGTTCCAGGGGCTTGGCAAGATCAGGGAAATTTCATCTGACAGTCTAATGATTAATGGATTATTTTCCCCTGTTCTTTTCATCAGAGGCTGTTATGCTTTAATAATAACACTTTTATGCAGTTCATTGAATCCAAAGAATCCACATACTAATGCATATAATCTATGTACTAATGCAGTGGCATTTAAATAATTGCATCAAAAGGAGTCTGACATCTTGAACTCAGGAAAGACTATAAAATGTTGTCTGGACTAGCTTTGGTTAAAGGTTAATGATTTACTGCATTGGAAAAATGGTGTGGTGAATCCATTTTACTCTCTAGCTCGAATATCACAGCCACTAGGGCCTTAAGTACTAAGGATATTAAAGAATGTTCTTCAGCAGGATGACTGTAATGACCCCCTGCATTAGCCCTGGCTCCCATTTTCATTTCAGAGCAATGATTATTCTGCTCTCTGTGTCCAAAGATAGAAGGTGATGACAGGCTAAAACCTCACTAACTGCATTCAGGAACAAGAGAGAATGAAGCAGGAACCTTATCAAAATATATAAAATCTTAAATGGTACATTAAAGGTCAGCCGAGCTACTTTTTTTGATCTCAGACCATTTGATAGAAAAAGGGTCCATGAATGATGGTTAAGTGAAAAGCAGCAGGTCTGGAGCACCCAGAAACATTTTCACACTGAGATTTTCACACTGTGTGGTCAATTGAAAGGGTGAAATTGGGCAGCACACATCGTGTAAAGACACTGAGTCACGTTCAGACCACATGAAGATGGGTCTGCTGCACTGTGCAGATGCTGTCACAGAGATTTCACACTACCTGCAGCTGCCTGGGAGGAGAGGAGTGCTCCTGTTCTGTGAGTCCAGCCCAAATCAATCCTCTCCAGACATGTGACACAGTGTTTCAAATTTAAGGCAACCTGTAGATGACAGTCTTATTCCTGAAAGACAGTAATTCTTTATGGGAACATGATTCCCCAGTAATAATGTCTCTGGTTAAAAATCAGTCGACATCAGTTCCATATAACATGTGTCCTTGATGTAGGGGAAAACAGTATAAACAGAGCTGACTTGAAGGAAAATACTGAATTTCTCATTGCCATCCATCTTTGCTCTTTGAACAAAAAAGACAGAAGGAAGAGGGGGGGTTTCCATAAAGAGAAATCTTTCCAAGCAAAAGACTGATGCCCAGTAGGGGCAGTGGAACTTTTTAAAGCTTTGGTGATAGTCATTCTGGATTTTAAGGAGCTAAATATATTGATAACAGTGGGCATTCAGGACAAAGATCCTGCTTCCTCCTGTATGAGTGATGACGTCCACCAGTGTCTATCAGTTCTTTGCACACTGTTCTGCTTCCCTGTAGTTGATGTGTTAATGGGAAAATGTATCCATAGCAGAAAAGATAGTATGTGGTTTCAGGAGAAACATACTGTCCTTTTCTCACAGACAGTCCTAACCTTTGTTAGGCTATTGAAATAGATCTTCACCCTTTTTGAGGGTTCACCTCCTGGCAGAGGGGATGCCTGGCATCACATAAAATAACACTCCAAGAGTTACACTTCACAGGCCTTTTTGTGGTGATGAGTCCTCATATCACAGCAGTAACTCAGCAGAGTATTTTAAAATACCTGATTCTTTCAGGTTGGAGTTAGAAATAAATGGGTATCTTTCATAGTTGTGAAACTTCTAAATGTCCTGCTCTGTGTTGTCATTGTTAGAATACTGAAATACAGAAGTGTGAACAAGGAAAACAGTGATTGATTATTGCTGATGAACATGCAAAAAGTGCATAGTCCAGTGAAGCTGTAGTGAGCACTACCTAGTTTGGTGAGAGACAAATTCTCATATCATTTTACTGGTGGAAAAAAAGATTTTTCTGTACTTGAAGGACTGGGGAAATAGATTTCCTGAAGTATCATGAGAGCAGATAGGAAAACTTGGCGAAATGGGCCACACAGCCAGACTGAAAACTGAGCACTGCTTTCAAACTGAAAGTAAAACTGTGCTTTCAAGAGAGCGAAGCATCACTGCACTGGAAACACATTCCATACTTTCTGGAGGCAGACACTGCTTTTTGCTTCAGTGTGCCCCTCTTGTCTGTAGCATCAATATCAAGAGCTACATTACAGCAACTGCCTGCAGCAGTGTCATTGCCTTTTATGATTGGTTCAGAGGAAGCTGCGTGAAAAAGCAGTGACTGACAGGATGGTAAACACTGAGTCTTATTTACTGTAGCACTTACTCTGCTTTTACTAGCAATGGTTCCATGCTGGTATGAGCACAACATGAATGTTCTTTTTTTAGTGTAGGCAAGCTTGGTACTGCACTTTCTGTAAACAGATTTCACAGAACAGATCTGTGTTGAACTCGTGGTGCATGCTGGCTATTCCTCTTTCAATGCAGCCTTCTCTGTTTTACAGCAGCAGCCGAGTCAGCAGAGAGGGGCATCAGATATCTCCTTCACCATTGATGCAAACAAGCAACAAAGGCAGCTGATTGCAGAGCTTGAAAATAAAAACCGGTAAGGATCCACTAAGTTCCTGGTTTTGTTCAGTCCCATATGTTACATATGTGTTTGTTTCTTAGCATTTTTTACCACCTGTAAAATGTGCTTGTACAGGCACATACATTTCCCCCTACAAATAAAAACAGAGCACAAAAAGGTCCATACAATAGGATAAAGGCTATGAAATCCATAGCCACCCCATGTTTTCAGAAGTGTACTGTCCAATGACATGATATAATCATGAATGCTTTACTGTTTGCAGCTGCTGTTTGTTAAGAGTTTTTAAAAAAAATTCTGTTTCAAAACCGGATTAACTTTCAGTTGGATTCTCAGTAGCACTATAACATGCAATGATAAAAGGATCAGTCACGCTTGTAATGTTATGCTCCCCTGCTTTTATTCAGGAAAAAGATGATTAAAGCTCTTCAGAACACAGCCTGCCTGGGAGAGGTTAGCAAGAAGATTAGCAGCAAGTTAGGCTGCTGATCAAATGAGACAGGAGGTGCAGATGTGACCGAGACTGAGAAAGAGTGTCCAGGAGAAATAGGCCAGCCGGCCCAGAATAGGAGTGATGCCTGTTTGTTAACAGCAGAGAACCTGGCCCTGGGTACCAGACTGCCTGATGCCATGAAATGTATGGCAGCAGAGCTCTGCTTTTAGTGCTGGACCATAAAACAGAGGCTAGCCCAGACCAGATGGTTTCCTATTTCAAACTCTGCACTGCCTTCTGTCACCGTGTAATGAGCACCACCAGCTCCAGTCTCGATTTGCCTTTCATACTTCGAGGCTGCCTCCTGACCGTCTGCTTCCAGCACATTGTGAAGAAGAGACAAAATTCACAAAGGTTTCAACCTTCTGCTGTGAAGCTTTGTATTAGCCTTTTGACTGCACTCCAGGGCTCACAAGCCAGTCCTAACAAGTCTTGTTAAAGTGCTTTTCTGTGGATTGTCAGCTGCTCTCACATCTCTGCTTCCATTCAAAGTATTTTAAAGGGCTAAATATTTTCTCTGATACCCCACAATATCCAGAAAGGTTACTTCAATTTTTTTAAGTTCATGAGGTGCTGGAAATGTTCATGGTGAAGAATTAAAAGGGAGCAGTTCTGTCAAGCATGGAGCTATTTTATGTCTACCTGTGTTTTTTGGGGGGGTTTGAAGAATGATTTCCCTTTATGGCAGAATCCTAAGAGTTTATTCAGGAAATATCCAGAACCCTCTCCCGTTGCTGTGGGCTTCTTTGGTTGGCTGCAAACAAGTTCTTTGCATTTTACTTACATCTTCACTGATTTAAAGCTAAATACAGTCATGCTTTTTCACCTCTTGCAATGTCCAGGGAGCTGTTTTTGTGGAAAATTAATGACTTATGGTCTTCTGCTTATTCTCCTCCCCAAGAGAAATCCTGCAGGAGATCCAGAGGCTGCGACTTGAGCATGAGCAAGCGTCTCAGCCCACACCAGAGAAGGCCCAACAAAATCCCACTCTCCTTGCAGAGCTCCGGCTCCTGAGGTAAGCTCAGGAGTAAAACCTCTGGCCTTGGCAGGGGCCAACCAGTCATTCTCAGCAAGAGAAGAGATAAAAGATAAGCCTGGCTTATGGTTTTGGAGGGTTTTTTAAGTAAGCCAATGTGTATTTTTTATCCAGTTTTGGTGCAGCACGTTGTCCTACAAGTAATTAAGCTTATGCTTTAAACTGTGTGCATGTGAAATCTCACATATTACTCCTCTACATTAAATTAAGCATATGCATTAGGATTTTCAGAGTTAGGCCCTTAGGTCGTTTGGAACAGGTCCCCCCAGCCTGGTCCAAATGCCATTAATTATATGGGAAAAAATGTTCAGAACAAATGCCTTTACAAAGATTTCTAGTTTATGCTAAAGAAAATGGAGAACTACATGAAAATACAGCCAGAATTAGATGTTAATCTTTGGAAATTTCCTCCATGTGTTGAACTCTAAGGAGAGGTCAGTTCTCTTCATGGTGCCAAACCAGGCTGCAGAATGATCCTCCTTGTCACATGGGGGGTGAAGAGTAATGTCATCTGCAGCTGCTGAAGATTTAGAGGATCCTTCCTCCAGTTATCCCACTGAGCTGAAAACATTAATATGGATGTGACTGCATGTTAGTTACAATACTCTACATGGATTTACTAATTTCCATGTATATCACATTGAAGAAGTGCAATTGTCATTGGCCCAGGTCCATAGGCTCCCTGGAAGTCCTGAAGTTCACATTGTGAGAGCCAAACAGAGGATCCAATTAGAACTATTCAAAATGCTCTATGTGAATAGAGAAGAGAGTGTAAGCACTTTGTTTCCAGTGAAACAATGCAAGATTGCTCTGCTCCCTGACTAATGAACATTTTTTGCCATTTAGCCACTCCTCACACAACTAATATTTTAGTGGTCTGATGCATATACAAAGGAATTTACTATCAGAAACTGTGCTAATTTTTTTTTCTTTACAAATACTTGGTAGTTTTATTATGGAATTTTCCACACAAAAATATTTTTCTGATTCACAAATCATTACTTTGGCTTTCCAATCTAAATACAAATTAGCTTCTTCATTTCTAGGAGGGATTTTAATGTGTAATTACTTCTGGAGATCTACAGGCAAGTGACATTGTGTGAGGCATATAACACTGACTGCCATGAAAATGTGTACACTGTAAAATATACCAATAATGTAACTCTTGTCCATCAAACTGAAAGTCCATTTTCAGCAGGTTTAGGAAATCAGCTTTTTATATAGTTGACTAGTAAAATTCATTACACTTTAAAAAAAAGGAATGATGGTGTAGTGTTAGCAGGCTGACTACTTAGCTTTTCCCTCTTTTCAATTTTGATACACATATTAAAGCATAATACCCTTATTTTAATTTCTTGATATGCAATGTCCCTAGGGCACTGATACTGAATTCCTCACCTCTACCTTCCCTGATTTAATATGCAGTATGAGAATCAGAAAATAACTTTTAATCTCTGGGTCTGAACTACTTTGCATTCCTTCTGAAATATTCACCATTTGAAAGGCAAAAGTCTTGACTTTGGATTTACTGGGGAATTTTGACACCACGTCAAATTCCTAGACACTTAAGATGGCACAAGGCTGTTCTTATGTGTAAAACAGCAGGACTCAGGGTAGCAGCCCTGATTTATGTCTGTTACCCTGCTGATTTTTCAGGCTTGAAGCACTTAGGGGCTGTATAGCAATTTAGTTCACATTGTATTAAGAAATGCTGGAATCTGTAAACCACATTGTGGGTACCTGTCCCACCAGCTTTCACAAGCTGCTGTAGTGTGTCACTCACTGAAATGAGGTCCTGAACACAGCATTCTTCACATTACCAGTACTGTCTTGGAGACAGGTTGGAAAACACCTTACTTCAAAGAATTTGCTCTGGAGTACAGCAGGAGAAAACCCTCAGAGGAGTAGTCTGCACAGTGCACACTGCTTAGCTCCTCTCTCCCTGTGGAATGAATCTAAAACCAGCAGAGCTCTGTACTAGGACCTGCCACTTTGAATTACACGGACCTTATTTTGGTTAAATAATAAACTCTGCTGCCTTTGTACAGTTCATAGCATTTCCAGCCATTACCTGTCTGGAAAAGAAAAGCCAACCAGGCATTTTGTAGCAGGAAATAGATCAATCCTTCAGAAGAGTAAATGCAACCTGGCAGTGTTACTATATGATCCTATTATAAAGGTGAGGGATAGCACACATGTGCAGTCCTGTAGAAATCAATGTTGTCTGTATCTGTACTTGCTCACTTACAGTGAAGGCTCAAAATCAGGGTTTCATGTTGCCCTAAATACAGGAAATCTACTTAAGTCTCATTGGTTCCAGTGGTCTTCCATTTAGGATTAAATTGTCATATTTTGTAGGTTGTACAAGGCTAACAACATAGTGTTTGTATGTTATTTGCAATGCAGTAGAATATAAAATATATGCATCTTTTTCAGTAGTTAATTATTATTTAGTAGTTATCATGTATGTATGATATTATGTTAATTATAACTTCCAGGAGGCAACAATTTTATTTTGTTCTTAGGTGGAGACCTCCCAAAATTTAGTAAAATTTAGTTTAATGTGTGCAAGTGCTGTTCCACCATCCTGTGTAGTGGAGCTGTGCAGAATCAAAGCTGTTCAGATTTATGGGGGGCACAGAGAGACTGTCACACTTGGAGTGGCTCAGTATTCACTGTCACACAGCCAGCACTGGACTCTGAGTGCAAAGAGCTAACTTCAAGCAGTTATATCTGTACTATGTGATAGGCTTCCTCTTGTTTTCAGGGAAAAAAATAGAAACAAATGCAGATTACTGTGGGTTTTTGTCTGAATTTCTGAACTCTCTTAGCTTCTCTCATATCTCACTGTGTTCAGTGCCCCTGCTGTAATTTCCTGTCCTTCAGGGCATGGCTTTAATTTCTCCTGACAGCTAGTGAGGTTATTGACTAGAGAGTTCCAAAGCTAAAATTGCCAGGCATTTGCACAAGGGACTATAACACAAGCTTGTTTGAACCTCATTTGTTCTTTGAAGAAGGGTCTGTGTCAGTGTCTGTCTTTTCCCTAATCACTATTCAGTCCTATGAGGATTCGCAGAGAGAGGGAGCTCCTTAGCCTTCATGGAGCCACATTTCTAAACCCTGTGCTGAGTTCATACTGTGTGTTTGCTTTCCTGTGGTCTGTAGGCATCTGTCCATAGTAGGGCTGGCAGAATGATGCAGTTAAAAGCTGCTGCTGTGAGGGGTAAGCCCTGATCAGGTCTCCTTGTTTCTCAGGCAGCGGAAGGATGAGCTGGAACAGAGGATGTCTGCTCTCCAGGAAAGCCGAAGGGAGCTGATGGTTCAGCTAGAAGGCCTCATGAAACTGCTGAAGGTAAGCAGCTGCACCTAGTACTGCCAAGGAAAATACAAAGTGAAGTGAGAAAGGAGAGGGAGGACTATGTAACCACAGAATTCTGCAGAGCCTGACTGTTTCTACCCACTGTGAGACTGTGTCTCCCTCCCTTTTTATGTTTTGCCTTGGTCTTTTAATTCGGGGGTTTCAGATGATGTTCAGGTGATGTCATTCCTGTAGCAGTACTGCATCATCATTTTCACCTGCTGCTAAAAGGTGTGAGAAAAACAAAAGAAACTGACACATAAAACAAGTTAACTATTAACTGCAAGGAAAAAACCTCAGTACTGTACACTATTATTCACTGCAGCTGACAGTATAGAGTCATTAGGCCTTTGACTTTGCACTTAAGTTAAAGTTTATTTAATTTATTCAGTTGCTGGTTTTGTCAGATGAGTAATTTAACAGTCACATCTACGTCTCTCAGCTCAGAGGTGCTTTCCCTACAACACTTGTTTCATTTTCAGGGATTTAGAAGCAGGCCCTTGTTAAAGAGATGAAACATGTCTCAACTAGCATCTCAGTTAAGAACAAAGATATCAAAAAACAAGTGCATTTTTAAACACAGGCCATCCACAGTAAGATGGAATATGTGGTTTTATTTGCAGCCTTATTTTACCTGATGTACTTCAGGACAGATGATGCCAAAAATTCACATTGGAACAAAACTCTCTGAGTATGACAGGAGACTCTTTACTTGTTGGCTGTGGCAGCTCAAATGAGTTCATGGAAATTCAGTGCAACTTGGGTCAAATATGGCTCAGATAAGAGGAGAAGGAATTTCACTGAAATACTTTTAGCAACATGCATCCATTTAGATGCAACATGCATCCATAGATCCATTTGCATCAAAGGATGAGTTTGTCACTTTTTGTCACTTGCCCCTCCTCAGACACAATGCACGACTTGGTGGCACCTCAGCAGCAGGGCCCACTGAAGAGCCAGCAGATTTTTGGGAGCTGGAACTAGGCAGGATACTTTTTGTTCTACCCATGAAATGCTGCAGTGCCACAACCAGCAGTGAAGGATGCCTGCTGTTAGTCACTAGCTGGACAAAGAAAATTTGGGGCAGGAAATGACAGCAGCTTTCTGCACACTTTGCGCTGTTCCAGTGTTTCAAAGTGTGCAGAGGTGGGACATAACCTGGTCTCATATCTTCAACTATCTTGATTGCACCTTTAACCCTGTACTCCAGGGTTGGCTTTTTGTTCTTCACTTACATCCTGGCTCATCTCATGTGCTGATCCTCTTTTTCTTTAGGAAGAAGAATTGAAACAGGTAGCAAGTTACCTTCTCTTTGGATGCCTCACTAACTCCTAAATGTGATTGTGTTCCTGTGGTTTGTGTTCCTTCTTTTGCTTGAGAAGTGTGTGTGTGTTCTTTTGACCAAAATTAATATTTTGCAGTTCTTTCCCACATTAGTGTCTTGGAGCAATTTTCACAATGAACCATCTTAGTGCTCTAGAAAGTGAGTCATGGCTACAAGGAATCTTTTCCTCACTCCTCTAAATTAAAACATGTAAGGTATAAAAACCACACCTCAAATGTAGTGAAACCAATCTAGAATATGAATTCAATAGATAACATTTTGAAAATGTCATGAGAAACTTTGTACTTTCAAGAAAAGCATAACTGAGCTTAAATTAGACAAGAGTACAAAGTCTGAAAGCTCATTTTATCCAAAAAGTCAGGGCATAGTGTGCACATCTTTAAAAGTTGGCCTTGATGCTAACAGTCCTATGAGTCTTCAGGGAAATAAATATTTCCTGCAACCTAGATCAAAAAGAGGAAGTATTTAGATTAATAATAGTAAATTTTAGAAGGTTTAATTGTTTCTGAGCTTTTCAGTATTGTAATGGATCTTGGAAATATATTAGTCTTTAAAAAAAAGGCACTTCTCAGATAGCAGTCTGATTTATGAGTTCAATAAAAGTGTTTCATTTTAACAAAATGCACTTCTTCCAACTTTCATCAGCAGAAGTACAGTCACAAGTCTGATCTGTTCTGTCTGTGATACAGCATCCAGAGTTTGTAGGTAATGCTCACCTTCATAAAACCAACACTTGCCTAATTTTTGTAGAGTTACACTCAAAAAAATAAATCTGCCCAAATACCACCTCCGTGTAAGGGCTTTCTTTTTTGATTCTGAAGATCTGTTCACAAAAGAGAAGCTTCCAGTGTGACAGGAGTTACCTTATCATATAAAATGTTCACTGGACAGTGTAAGTGAAAGCACATTTTCAGGCTGCTATGAGGTATTTTTATGGCTTTTTTTTTCCAAGAGTAATAGCCTCACTGAATACCAGGTGATGATGCTAAAGAATTACTCTCACCATTTCCATTTAATGATCCCCATTATGCTATGCCATTTCATGATCTGTTGAGAGAAACAGGATTAAATTAATTTCTGGAGGAATTCAATTGGAATGAGCAGCCTGGCAATTCATCTAATGCTTATGAATTATCTATTTCTCCATTGCCCTTCCTTCTGAAAGGATAATGAGTTCTTCACATCCCTGTCGTTTGATGAGGCTGTGTGATTTCCTCATATGTCATCCCAGTTCAGTCCCAGCAGAGGGAGCAATGGGCTAAAACTCCTGTAAAGCCAGTTTTCATTTCAAGCGTTTTAGGCTAACTTGCATGACACTTGATAGTGGGGAAATTTTCCTGTCTAGCAAGAGTTAACTTAAAAGCTGTAGCAATTTGACTAGAGATGGTGAATTAAATAAAATACCTGAAAATTTTCCTGGGAGGCATGAGAACACTGATAGCTGCAACCAAGTACTACACAAAAGCTGAAGCCATCCAAATATCCACAGTGGCTGTGGTAGCTCCCCCTTCAGCATGCTTTAATCCTTAGCTGGTAGAGCTGTCAAGGTTTGAGAGCAATTCAGGGCTTGTCTTCTCTGCTGACCTTACCAAGAAGTTAAGACTGGCTGTCATAGCAGATTTCAGACCACAATTCTCCTGATAACCACTAAGCAGGAATCCAATCTTAATACCACTTCATTGCTACAAACCTGGGCTGAGGTGGATCTAAATGAGTGAAATAGATTGAGTTTTCACCTCTCTGAAATCAGGCATTCCCTAATATCCTATTTTAACTTGCTGTTCATCAGTTCCATCTCATACTGCCCAAATAGTATAAAAAGTGAGGAGTTTTATCCTGGACAAGGAACTCCAAACGCTTCATCTTCCTGTGCTTCCCAAACATTTTGTGTTTATCATAAACACAAGATCTCAGTCATAGCTGCAGAGCAGACAGAGGGTAAGCACTGGGTGTGCAGCAGTTTCCACATCTCTTAAGGGAAAATTCCAGCCCAGAAGTACTGGCGGGCATCTGTTATTTTTAGTAAATAAAATGCCTATTCTGAAGTTCATTCCTGAATATGACTTGATGGCAGGAAGCAAATTTTGTCCATTTTTTTCCTCATCTTTCTCTGAAAGTTCCCACTGTTGTTGGTGTTCCCAGAACAGAGATCAAAGGCAGAAGGGACCTTAGAAAAAAGGCAAGGTAAAAAGGGCACTTGTCTTTCAGAGAGCTGAGAACCAAAAATTCATCCACAGATGTGTTTCAGTGAGGATGAAGTGTGCTTCATCAGGGCATGAAAGAATAAAGCTGTAGATCCTGGGTGCCCTCCCTGCCTGATGTGCAGGGGTTATGGGACTTTGGAGCATCTCCAAGTTGCTCTGGGCCCTTCTTCTGGAGGACTAAATATCTCCATTTCTGCTGGAGCTGGTATAGATGATTCTAGAAATAGGAGAGCATCTGGCCTTAATATATTCAATTTGCATTTTCCATCCATCATGTAAATGTTCCAAAACCAATAATTAAAGAAATTATAAGTATTAAATCCTCCATTCTTCCATCAGTAATGTGCTTTTTTCTCATAAAACTAATTTACCCTTGATGGCTTTCAGGTGATAATGTCTCTTAGGAAGAGGTGATAGGATAAAAGAACAAATAGCTTAGTATTCTGATACATTATATATGGTCCAGGTCAGGAATTTATAAAAGTCTCAAGGACAATGCTGCACTCAACCTGTAATGGCCTGCTCTTGTCTTTCTTAGAACATATTTGCCAAACATAATCAGAGTTGCAGTGGCAATCAACACCAGAGTCAAAATAAATGCCATGGGAAGAGTTAAGAAATCCTCCTGTGTTTTTAAAATAAAGCCAAGGGAAACACCACCTCTCCAGTCACTTTTGACTGAAAACAACCAGGAGCTTGTGTTGCAGTTCCCCTTTAAAAGCACTCAAGCCACCTCCATCCTTGGCATCTGCTAAACACTGGCTTTCAAAAGCTATGTGCAGTTAGGTGTGGGTTCCAGCATTACTTTTTTCTTACATGGATACACATTCCCAGGACTTTGAAACAGAGGGTGAGAAGAGAGCTGTGTCTCTTGATATCATTCACCTAGCTGCATTAGTAAAAATTGCAAATTTTTTTAAATCTGCTTGAATTTCAGCTAAGTGATCCTAACTGTGAGGTGCTAACAGTGTGACATTTATATGACTGGTGTTAAAACATTTTCACTTCCAGCAGCTGAACCCATGGCAGGGATTTATATTGCCCTATCCCCACAGTGTTTTGGGAGTGTCTGAGTATGTGGAGCAGATAATTTAATAGTGGCTTAAATAGTTCTCGAGCTCCAAATAAAAAGCAGAAATGTGTGTTATTTATTGAGAGTGTCAGACTTTATGTGACTGGGAGGTTGCATGTACCATGAACTTGTCCTGCAGGCAAAGGGCAGGGCTGAGCTCAGCTCTCGTGGCAGGGCTCTGCTGAAAGGGGCTGCTCCAGTCCCTTGCCCAGGCTGAAAGCCAGGCTGGTGCCAGCAGCTTTCCCCTTCTCCCAGCCAGAGTGGCTTACAGTTTAGCAGACATGCATGTGAACTGGGGGAGTGAGAGGGGAGAGGACAGAGAGCTCTGTAGTGTGTTCTTTATTAACTTGGATTTTTTTTTAATTTAGCTGCCTGACATTTTCCCATGCTTGGAGGAAGTCAGATCTTGACTCATATTTTCCTACTTACTGTTTCTCTACACAGAAGCCTCGCTGTCAACTAACAACTGACTTTGGTTTACTTCTTCTAGCAAAATTAACATTACCCAACTGATCTACGAGCAGCACGATGCCTTTAAGCTGAGGGGTGGGTGGCCAGGAGAGCAGGCAGGCTCTTGCAAAGCCCCTGTTTAACGCCCTGGTTGTTTTGCAGACGCAGGGGGCGGGCTCCCCACGCTCCTCGCCCAGCCACACCATCAGCCGGCCCATCCCCATGCCCATCAGGTCTGCCTCTGCCTGCTCCACCCCGACCCACGCACCTCAGGACTCTCTGACCGGGGTGGGAGGAGATGTGCAGGAAGCCTTTGCACAAAGTAAGTGTCATTAACAGCTTGTCTGAGGCACCTGCAGACTGAAGAATCATTATTTCTTGTGGTTTTACTGACTTAATGTACTCGAGCTTCTGAGTTGCATGCAATGAAACCAAACAAAACAAAAAATGTCTGTGACAACTGCATTTTGCTTTTGAAAATCAACTTTGTCAGCCACCAAAGCAAGGTGTCAAAGCAACCAGGTAGGCAGAAACTGGACAATGATGGCAATTAATGGAGCTTGGGGTAAGAAAGAATTTTGATTCCTTCTTATCACTGCTCTGTTAACCAGAAAAATTGCTATTGACCTCAGCAGGCATTGTCAGTGTGTTTTAAATAAAGACTTTGCTAGAAGTAAATGATACAAGCATAGAATTAGTTCAGGTGGAAAGGGCTTTTGTAAGTCACTGTGTCCTTCTGCCCCAAGATAAAGGGCTTCAAAGTGAGATCAAACCATTCAGGACATTACCAGCTGAGTTCTGGATGGATCCTGTCACTTATTTTCTCTGTTGCAGTGTTTCACCATCCTTATTGTGTAAATTCCTTGTCCTTCTATCTGGTTGGAACATCCCTGGATGCAACTTGTGACTGTTGTCCCTTGTCTTTTTGCTTTGGGCCTGAGAAGGCCCAGGTAGACTAGACAGGAATCAAGTCTGAAAGTCTAGGTGAACCCTTTCCTTGCATTTCCAGAAAACTGTCATCACCTTCCCGCTCTTTTTTCAAGTAAGAATAAATTTTAAACTGTTTTGAATTTCTAAGGCCATAAATTAAATTATTATATTGAATAACAGAGAGTAGTCTGTGTTATCTAAATGAAGAAATACTTCTAATTTTTTAATCTGCTCTCTCTAAAATATTTGCATCATTGCATTTCTATGATCCAAATAAGTTTTTTCCCTTTTTACCCAGCACAAATTAAATATAAGTTTAAATTTAAGCTCAGAAGTTCCTCTGCCACAGTGGAAGCACGCTTCTTCCCAGGAACCCAGTTCAGCCCTCTCATGCACCCTTCCCCTTGATTTTCCTGTGAATTGTGTCTTTGTGTGTATTTTTGGACAAGATTGAATCTGTAATGCAATCAAGAACTTTCTCCTAAAGCACTGGTCAATTCAAGTATTGAACATAGGCATAATTCCTGGTCCCAACATAACAGGTTGTTGCCAGTCTCATTTTCTGTGGCAAAAGAAAAACAGTCATTTTCTGTGGCAAAAGAAAAATATGTTTTCCTTTTTTTGTGCTGTGAGAAAAATCAAGCCAGGCAAAAATATGGACCCTAGCTCCTATGATGTTATGGGACAGCTTCTTCTAGAGTTAGGAGTAAGATAAATAATATAGTGGCCACAATAAAATATCCATAAACAATGCTAAGTCTGCCTCAGGCAAATGCATTTTAAGTGTAAAAACGTGTTCTGTTCAAGATCAAAAGCAATATAAGAAGTTATGTGATCACATATTAAAACTGCTGCATTTGATAAATACCTAGGTTTGTGTCATTATTTACTGCAAGCTCTAGATAGGAAGGTCAAAGCCAAAGAACTTGAAGCCAGCATTCTGTCACATCTTGACATATGACTTTGTGAGGGGGCTTGGGCTGAGGTGTTATGGCTCCATTCTCTGCTGCACCAAGAGAGATCTACCTATATACACATAATGCAGACAAGCCATGGTTAAAGGACCTTTTCTCTTCATTTTTTCCATTTCTCTTTCACAGCATTTGCAGTAGTTCAGAGGCACAAATTTGGAAGACTTTAGAGAGAGAGTGGTTGTCTGTGTGTGTAAGAGAGAGTTTAACTACTATAATTTACATTCCAGTAACTATTTGCTAATGGATACATTAAAGAAAAAAACCTCTTCAGGATTTGAGAAACTTTTTTAAATGTATTGGTTTGCATTCACAAGTTTTAAAAAATCTACAGTAGCCAATTCTTGTAAATAGTTCCATTTGGAAGATTAGTGATTCTGTGGAATATATTGATTATTCAGCTATTCAACAATAGTATCTGTGTTTGGGATTTTAGGGAATTAAGCACATGTTACCCACAGACCCCTCCTAAGGAAAGAGTATTCCATGCAGCTCCCAAGAATCTCTCATGATTGATGGTTAAGGGAATATTGCCAGGTTCAGCAGGGAAACACTTCTGGATGCATTATTAGAAAGAGTTTAAAAGCAGCCTGGGGCTGTTTATGGAAGCAGTAGTGCTTCCCTTTATTAAAAAAAAAAACAAACAAGGGGGGCTGGGGTGGGGGGGGGGAGAGAGAGAGAGACAGTAAATTATAGACTATACAAGAATGTCCTTGAGCTACAGGAGAGGCTGAGAGGGAGCAGAGAAGAGAAATCCATATAGGGATGAGGTCAAGTGTGTTTCTTCAAAGTTTGCCATAATTATCTGGCGAATATCTGGCAATAATGGTGTCATTAAACTGAGCTGTGGGAACTTGGAGAAAACACTTCATTTCTTCCCTCCTCCCCCACAGGCACTGTAAATGAGTTCACGCTGGATTTAATCTTCCAGGCCTGGTCTGCTGGTGTCACCACACAAATGCAAGCTTGATGGCAATGAATAATCTCCACATATCTGGCATTGTGGTTAAATGAAGCATGAGGATAGGCTTCTGCTTTTGCATACAGCATAAGTAAATGAGGCCATTCTGCAGAGAACTCTTCTGCACGTGCCCTTCACGAGGACTTTGATACCCTGAATTATCACAATGCCAGCTTTCAGAGGGGTCACAACTGCTTTCAACAGTAAAACATATGTCATGTGAATTATGGTAACCTGTGCTTTGTCCATCCCTTGCTTCAGGTGCAAGACGAAACTTAAGAAATGATTTGCTGGTGGCAGCAGATTCAATCACCAACACCATGTCTTCTTTGGTAAAAGAACTAAATTCTGGTGAGTGAGGCATGCAAGGGGGAATAGTTGTCACAGTGACATTTCACATTTGTATGAAAAACGTGGGAGGTAGGAAGATACATATCTTCAAAGCTTTTTATGCTTTTGTTAAAAAAATCCCTAAGTTACAGCTTCTGGAACTCAGCAGTTCTCAAAGCCATGGATGTAGAGGTGCAAGTGGATACAGTTAAAAATTTGTCTGTGATTCCACACGGAGTGAGATTTCACTCTTTAGAAATTAGATTTAGCATAGATCATATAGGACCTGTTGTAAAATGCAGTCTGTAGTATTACCATTAAAATATCCTACCTAATAACTGAGATAAGCAGAAGTTTCAGTATTTGTTCCTACCACAAGAAGAAAACTGTAAGTTTTGCCAATATAAGTGGAATAATATGCTTTTAATCACTCCTCACTACGAGGAGGTGGCATTCCTAATTGGAAAGGCAAAGAAATGCTTAAAGAAATAGGCAAGTGTACTTTTGTGGAAGTTAAATGGGACTTTTTGCTTCTCAGAAGTGGGCAGCGAGACAGAGAGCAATGTGGATTCTGAGTTTGGCCGGACCCATTTTGATGATCTGGTTCCATCCCCAACGTCTGAGAAGGCTTTCCTGGCACAGATCCACGCCCGGAAGCCGGGATACATCCACAGCGCTGCTGCCACCGGCTCCATCCGCAGTGACATGTGGGTACCTGCCCGACACCTTCTCCTGATCTCATCCTTCCTCCTCTGAAAACAGTGTGCAGCACATAGGATTTCCTCTCCCTCTCAGTTATTCGGGTAAAAAAAAAAAAAAAAAAAGAAAAGGCACAAATCCAAGTGAGGACTGCCTCATGGTTACATAGTAGTGGGCTCTGAAAACAATAAAGCCTGGAGCTTGGGACTCCCTCAGGAGTGAGCTGTCTCACATCCAGCCTGGAACACTCAAACAGCATGGAGGCTGTGGGACAGCTGTTTTCCCAAACGTGCCCTGCAGTCCTATTCCCTATTTATCCAGACTGAGGGACCTGTTGGGGCTCACTGGAAAAGGAGAAATGTGTAAATGGAAAAGACAGAATGCTTTTCATTGACCTACTCAATTAATGAACAAACATTGATTTTTACAACCTGATCCTTCCTTTCAGAGACAATAGGCATCTTTCTAGTTATTTTTAGTTCAGCCTCTTTGTATGAAGTTATTGAGAACTTTTGTTACTCATTTCCTTAGGGGAGTGCCTTCAGCAGAATATGCCCTTTGGTGTACTTCATGAGAGAGGGAAATAACAGAAGTGTTCTCCACTGCCAGGAAAATACTAACTAGTGGAGCATGTGGTTAGCCTAAAAGTATCCCACAGTCCTCATAGATTATAATAAAGGGAAGTTTTATTGACTCTGAATGTCATTCATCTCAGGAGGCTATTTATTAATAATTGTCTTTAGGGTTACAGAAGATGGAGACCCCTATGTCAGAGCAGATGATGAAAATTATGAGAATGACTCTGTCCGCCAGCTGGAGAATGAACTGAAAATGGAGGAGTACCTGAAGCAGAAGCTGCAGGATGAGGCGTACCAGGTGGGAGAAGGACACCAACTGCCCCTGTTTCTCCATGAGTGAGAAAGGATGATGGCCCTCAAGTGCCCAGGGCCATCTAACCAGCCCTGGGCTCTGGAGTGTGATCTCTTCTGGGTTACCAGAGCAGCCACATTCCAAAAGCTGCTGCCAGCCTTACACAGACACACAAGCATCCAGCCTTTGTGCATATCCAAGAAGAGCACACTGCCTGAAGCAGCAGTGATCCATAAGGGTACCAGGGAACCAGGTGGGACAGAACTGCCTCTGAGCTTGTTCTCTGCCCATGCCTACCAAGTCACTTAGAGCTTATTCCCCACTACCATAGGTGCTGGATGGTGGTGTCAGGGTGTCCTGCTATTTTCTTTTTCTTTTTTTTTTTTTTTTCTCCAAAAGAAGAAACATTCATAAGGGTTTCTCCAGTGTGAACTTAAGCTCAGGTGCAGTCTGTGTTACTGTCATTGTCAGAATCTGGAGGTACAGTAAAGGGTCTGGAACAAATTGTATCCCAGAGAACCAAGTATTCAACAAGCATCTGGTGCAGAGAAGCCTGGGGATTTGTTATTAAACACCTCCCTGAGGAAGCTCTCAAAGAGCATTTGTTTAGGAGTCTGAGCAAAGCAAATATGCCAGGGGGAGGTGGAATTCTGTAGATGCCCATATTTGCATCATGGTCTCCACTTCTACCTGGTGTTGTAGATTATTGCCATGTTTTCGGTTATTCTGACTTGGAATATCTGAATTTAAAATACATTACTTCTTATAAAGTTAGAAGCAGTGTCAATAGGAGGGAAAACCTAGTTCAGTTATTTGGGAGCAGAGCTGAAACAAGCAAAAATAACTTTGTTTCCACATGGCAATCGGCTCAAATTTGGACCTCACCCCCAATGAACATATTAAAAAACCAAAAACCAAATTAGACATGTTCTGAGAGGCCAGATGTCTGCCAATTATGTTCAAAATCACTTTATGGGCAGCAATTCTTTATACTGCTGATTTTTAGGAGCTAATAAAATCTAGCCTTCTTTTCTGGTAATTCTCCTCTACTGTTCAGTGCTGGTCACTTTGGAGACAATCTGTGTCTGACAGGCTTGTGTTGTAATGAAGATTGGCTGCTCTTTTGGTCTTTTTTTCTGTAAAGCTGCTAGGATATGTTAATCTTGTAAAAGTTTATTGAGTCTTGTCAAAATTTGAGGTTGATGTGAACATCTTTTTGTTGTTTTTGTTGAGACCTGCTACATTCCCATGGTAGGTTGCCAAAAGTAATTTCATCGCAGAGGTCTTTAAGGACCTGACAAAAGGAGCAGGATTGTAATAGATTATTTACTAAGGCAACAGCAGGTGACTAGGGGGAATTGTCTGAACTTTTTATCCAAGACAGGAATGGTCAAAAATCACAGCCTTATAGCTTCTGAACAGGATGAACAGCTACTACTGATGTAATGAAACGTAGGTGTCAGTTTAGAGAAGGGGGTGCCTAAATAGTCACAGCTATCTGGCATCAAATAATAAATGTTATTCTTTCTGGTAAAAATGCTATGTTCCACAGAAAGAACAGATCAGTTTGACTGTATTTTGATTACAGTATGGAAGTGCAATATATGGCAATAGTGTTACTTGAGTTTCACGAGTTACAATGGGATTTTGTACATGGATAAAATTTAGGATGTATGTACACTGCAAATAAAGGCAGGAGAAGTTATGTATGTCACTTGATGGCACTGGGTGTTACTCTTGCTTCAGTCAAAATAGTTTTTCTGCTGTTTTCCACCAACATTCCAAGGAGAAAGTGAGGAAATCTTCTCCCTATTAACATCAGAATAAAACTCCTGAATTTAGGTGAGCCAAGACGACAAACAAGTGAAGCTTATTCCCCATTGTTTTACATTATTTGTTTCCACCAGGGGACAAAAACAGACAAAAAGCCCACCACACACACACACCCCCTCCCCTGGTCAAAAAAAGGAAAAGCTTTTCTTTTTTGTCAAAAATATATTCACTGAAGGACCAGAAAGTCCTCATTCTAGACAAGTTCTGCTTAACAGCATTTTTTCAGAAGAAGTTTCATGATGTACTTTACTGTCTGTGAGATTGTCAGCTCCTATCAGGCAGTGATTTGACAGTAGTGACTTGTAAGTAGAATCTATTTTTGGTTGATACCACAGCCCCAAAGCATGTAATGGCAATGCATGAGAAGTCCTTCCCAGTATGGGTGATGCCATTTAAAATAGGGGATGGGTTTAAAGAAGCAAGAAAAGGTATTAAGTTAATAGGGACTACTAAGATGATTAGGAGCTGGTTGAGAGTGTCATATATTGACCCCAAGACATGTGCTTTGGCCTTGGTTGTTCTCTGCAATTTACTGTTTATTTGTGGTATTTCACTCTTCTATCCCGTTTTCTGCTAATATCACTGAGTATTCTAAAAAAGCCACAGCTTACTACTTGGAAAAGCAAAGGAAAATTGGAAAATTTCTGTTTAGGGTATCCTGTTGAATAGAGGCCAGGTCAACTATTCTCATTTTCATCAAACCATTGGAATTTATTACAAGCTGTTTTACTGTTTGTACTCACATATACACTGCATTCATCTGGATTGCCAAAGAGAGCCAGAAGCTGTAGCTATCGTAATGCAATTGTCAGCTGAAAAAATCTGCAAGGAGGAACTCCTACTAAGGGTGCAAAATGGTCACCTCAGTAACAATCTGGTAACCATTTTTATGTTATTAAATGTCTCACTTCGTGTACAATCAGCACATTTAGAAAAACATGTAGATGTAGCGTAGCATGAAAGATGGTTGGCCCAAACCCACTCTTGTTATTTTGTGTCACCTTGTGTCTAAGAAAGATTTTTGTGCTGAACTCTAAATTAGTATAAAAAAGCCAGGAGACACAGGGAAATCAGGGACATGAAACCTTAGAGGAGGCTTCTTTCTGTCTTTTTTTTAAGCATGTTGTAAATAACAAGTATCTGTATCAGAAAAAAACCCAAACACATTTAATGCACAAGTGTAAATGCTAACAGCGTGTATCCTCCCACATCTGTTTCCACTTTTGTCTTTTGCTGAAATGTTGTGTAAGACAGTTTTCACTGGGTTTATTTTCTGGGTCCCTAACTGCTCCCTTTATTTCTAGGCTTGTGCATGGCTTTTTTCAGAATAATACACTGCCTGGCTGCTCACGGGCTTAATTTGTCATCTTCCTGTTTTCTGTCCTTTGTTATCTACAGGTCAGTTTGCAAAGTTGAGTGCAATATTCTTCTCTCTCCTCTCAAGTAAGTATTATTATAATTTAGAAGAAAGTTTGGAATTAATCCCCATAATAAACATTTAAGTTGCAATGCATCTTGTGGCACCTGAATGTATGTGACAATGCTGTTTCTTTCTCCTTTTAACCTGTGTTGGGATGCCTCAGAATCTCTCTGAATCAGTTCTAATTTATGGATCTGTAGTCCTAGTCCCAAGGATTCCTGTTAAGCTGTCACCCTTTTCATGTTTTTCCTTTGTTGACCATCAGAGTGAGAACGTGGGCTTTTCATCCCTGGGGATGATGACAAATATATTAACCAGTACAGAGAAGCCTTGTCCAGAAGATAAGGAATCAGATTACATTTCAAGAGACCTGAGTTTAACTCCATTCAGTGCTTTAGTCTTCCTAGGATAACTGAAATAAATAATTTCTTATGAGGTCAGAACATCTACTCTAGTGTGTGAAAGAAGACTTATGCAAACATTAAAGAAAGCAATCCACCAGCTGCTTAACCACAGAGGTGTCCTCAGATGTGTTGTGGAGTTTTAAAAAGCCCCAAAAAGTGGAAGGCACTCAGCTACTGGATAGAAGCTGGTAGTTCTGAAATATGGCAAGATCTGTAAATTCCCTGCTGTCCCATTGATGCCTTAGGATTTTAGCTTTTATATTTTTCATATATTTGTAATCCTGCAGTTCTTTAGTGTGGAACTCTAAACTCCATATAGAGTGTTAGCTACTGTCTTCTCATTTTGGTCAGACAAAACAAATCCTCTCTAGGCCTGGGAATCAAGGACACCTCACTGCCTCAGGCCCCAAGAGATGTAAACAAAAGTGACTTGGGGCTGAGCAAACTTGGGGTAAATGACTTCATTACCTGAAGCTGTAATTGGAAAATTAACCCCCAATTTGCAAAAGGACCAAACTTATCAAGGTGTGAAAACTCATGACCCATCGTCCAATTTTTGGGTGTAGCCCCTGGGGGGCTTCATCTGCCAGAAAAGTACCTGAAGGCCCTTCAATAAATATAAAAGCTTTTTATTCCCTTAGTTTTGTCTGACCTCTGTTTTTAGGTAGCCCCAACAAGGCATCACCATACTGAGGTCATGTTTCTTACACATGCCATCCTCCCAGTTGCAGCACTGAGCTTACTGCCAAGTTCAGCAATTGTGTTTTTCCTCAGGAAGACAGACAGCATCTATTTTTGTGAAGTAGCCTGTAACTCTGCACATTTGCCCAGGAAGTGGAGAGCACACATTTCTTCTTGCCTCATCTGAAGCCATGGACTCTGCATTTCTGGCTCTCCAGGAGCATGCAGTGCCCTGCTGTGAAGATGGCAGTGAGATAGTCCTGTCCATCCTGCTGAGACACTGAACCATGGGATAAAGGGGATGGAAAGGGAAGAGGAATCAGAATAGGGATCTAATTCTGATCTGCAGACTGAGCCTCTCCCTCAAAGCCAGAGCTAAAAACAAGCAGAGGTCAACAATCAAATGGGCACTGGAGCTTGGGCAGGGTTGTGTTCAGATGAGCAAAACCAGTGAACAAGCCTGTGCCAACTCTAACAGGAACTCATATTGTTAGATTTTGTGTGTCATGTTTTATGCTAGACCTCCTCATTTTTATGGCAGTTTTGATGGTAAAACTTGACTCTGATTCAAGGGGTTTGTGTCTTCTGGTGACAGTGAAATTTGACTGTTAAAATGTGTACCTTGTGAAAGCAGCTACTAAAGGGTATTTCCAAGGTATCTGTCTCAGTGTCTCTTGCAGCTGAAGCAGAATAACTGGATGTGAAAAGCAAATAAACTGCAATACCCAGAGTGCTATAAACTCCAAATAACTGCTCATAAAAATTCTCCTAACATTGCTCCTCAGGTTACATTCATTTTCTCAGTAGTCTTGTTAAAAATATGAGCCATGTACAGTTCCCTAAACATTTACAGCCAGAAAAATAAGTTTCTTTACTCTGTTTTGGTCCAGTTGTCAGTTTTAGATCAGGTCATGTGAAAGGCAAGTAGATATTTCAACAACAATGTGTGTGTAACAATGAATATAGCAGAAATTTTGTATATAATTGAATATAATTAAAATTTGCAATGATAAGTCAAAAAAAACCTTTTCTAATTAGAATTACAAAACTCAGGCAATTCTATATAAGGTTTCCTTTTTTATTGGGAAGCAATGTTAACATAGTGATGGGGGGAAAACATACTGCTCTGGAAGCCTGGCTTTCTTGAAGTTCTGTATCCTGTCTCAAATTAGAAGATACCTGAGACTGAGATACTGTCTAGTCTCCTAGATGATTTGAAACCTTGTCAAAAAGAAAGACTTTCATAGTGAAATTCTTTTTAGCTCCCAGGGGAGCCCTCTGGCCAGCACCAAAGAGTGTAATATTCCCAGGAGCTATAAAAGCCTAGCCCTACAGAAACTGGCATCCAAAGCTGGTGGACTTGGCACTTCACCTATATCCACAAGAACAAAATGCATTATGGTACATTATGATAAATACATCTTCACATGGTAAGTGAATCTTCTCAAGATTCACTCTGTTGTGAATATGGAAGTCTGTCATATCTTGTGTATTTTATTTGGTACTTGCATTTCACAGCACTGGAAAAATAACTTCAAAATAGTTTATACCAGTCATGATAGTATCTAAATCATAGTATCTAAAGTGCTTTTGCAGTTCTTATTGGGTTCTTGCTTGAAGCTTAGAAGCTGCATGGAGAGTTTTATTTCTAAGCCCTTATTCAGTCATTAGTGATACAAATACAGCTGATATGGCCGTAGATGGCCATAGGAAGTAGAAAGACAGCAGATTTTCTTACACCAGTATTATGTTTGTGCTTACTAAAAACAAAACCAAAAGATGGGGGAAATGAGATCAGTTTATTGTAGCTCCTTGTGAATGATATTACTGCTGATGACCAGCCTCAGAGTTTTGCTCATTTCCTCATTCACCTGAAGTTGATGTTATTTGATTGATGATTTTTGCAATCTATTTGCATCTTTAAAATGCTATGTACGATTTTCCAGAATTGATTTCAAATAGCATCTAGTATGTAGGAAATTCCCAAGAGAACAAGAGATTCTAGTAATATATACAACATAATTTAATTATGTTTTCAATTTACTTTTTATGTTAAATATACTTGTTTCATTTTTAGTAAAGAAGTAGAGTGAATTTGAGCTTGTTCTCAGCAGGTACTAGGCAGATCTTGACTTTAGGTGAAACTCTGATGTTTTTTTACCTTTATCTCCTTGATAGCATTTGGTTTTTTGCCAAGGGCGGCCAATGGGAGCAGAAATCCTGCATTTCAGAGACTGGTTTAGAAGTTGTCATTTTCAATTAGTTGCTGTTGACTCATGCAGTGGACATGTCCTCACGAGACCTACCATTTCCTAGATTTTTCTAAAGCTGAGCTTTAGTGCTGGCACACATTTGAATTGGTCATGCCTAATTCATTTATATGCATTATTAAAACAGGAGAGAAGGTGTAAAAAGCTAATAGAAATCAGACCTAAGGCATCCACTAAGAGGGAGTGCAGAGAGGCTTTATTGCAGGTTTTGTTCTCAGATTTTAACTGTGATTTTCCCTGTCTTGACAAAAATTTAATAATTTCAGTTAAAGATTCAGTTCCATTCCCACTCTCTCAAAACCTTATAACATGAACTGTTGTGGGATCTGAGGCTTTGGGTGTCTTTGGGAGACATTTTCCATTGCAAAAGTGACTGAATGGTTTCTATTGAAACAGGTGGATTTTTTTTCAAACACTAGGACCCCAAATCCTCTCAATGTTTTATATGAATGTATTCTTTAAAAATACCATGTATTCAACTTGGACTGTTTTTCCGGGGCAGAATTCATGTTGAGTTTCCATATTTTTCTCATCTCTTGCCATTTTTTTTGAACCTCTGTTTTCATGTTTCCCAGCAGAGATTAAGAACACATCAGATGTCAGGTGATAAAACCCAAGGGAGAGTGTGGTCAGTCTAGTCCAGTCTTTTTTAGTTTTTTCTTGAGCAAGTACATAAAAGCCAGCATTATCTGGACCATTCCATTTGAAAATAACAGGAGGTTAACAGCACAGTAATTTTCAAAAATGTCTGCTACATTCACTCAGCTATGTTTTGGTTTTCTGTTTGGTTTATTTTTCTCCCTAAGTCCTCCTCTTCTTAGCATGTAGGTGTAAAAAACACTGTAAAAAAACTGTGACCAAGTTATCAGGGAAGAAGGAGCTTAAATTTGTGAATTCAGTTCTAAAATTACACAAGTGATAAGGATGTTTTTTGAAAAATCACTGAATGGCAAGTAACAGAAAAGAAGCTGTGGATTAAGTAACAGAAGAGGTCTAGAAACAGTTTTATATCATGAAAAATCATAAAAATCTTAACTTGGAATTAATTTTGGCACTTCCAAAATGTTGCAGTGACTTTGGAGCTCTGAGGTTCATTAGTACTCATTATCTCTCGTAGGAAAATATCTCTATCCCAGTCCTGGCTGTGAAACAGAGAGAAGCCTGGGGAGAATTTAGAATAACCCTTCCCACAGTCCACCAAAGGGAAGTAGTTTATCCAGAAAATATGAAGCAAACCCAAATACTTAACATTACTGTCAATGCATCTTAATGCATCCCATGTTTCACAAGCCATTCTTATTTTACTCTTGTGGTTTATAATGGTACCATCACGAAATATGAGATGTTCCTATATTTTTGTATGTTAGGAAAAACTTTGTCACCAAGAGGGTTGCCAAGCATTGGAACAGGCTGCCCAAGGAAGTGGTTGAGTCACCATCCCTGGAGATATTTGAAAGGCATGTGGATGTGGCACTTGGGGACATGGTTTAGTGGTGAGGCTTGGCAGTGCTGGGTTAAAGGCTGGTCTGAATGATCTTTTGCAGCTTAAAGGATTCTATTATTTACATAACCCTGGAGCTGATTCAGTAAAAGTCAGTCTCAGGCAGCTGAGAACTGACCTCTTCCATGCCTTTGATTTGCATTTTTTTGTCTGAATTGTGAAGAGCAAAGTTTTCCTTTGCTAAGATTACCAAATTAGTTTGCAGACTTAAGAAGTGCAGGTGCCTGTCTGATTTTTAGAAGATATCATTTAAGATGTACCTCAGAAATTTTTTATTTAACTCTCACTAGACTTGCACTGCAGGTTTCCTTTGCATTTATCAACAAAATGTTAATGCTTGTCTTTTGCAACCATCTGACACAAGGAGACACTAAATTAAGATCATCATACCATTTGGCATGCTTAGGTATTAAGGAATGGAGTGGAAGTGTTTGTGCTTGAATAATTAATACAATCAAATGGTCTCAGGAAGGGGAAGCAGCAAACTAAACTACCTGACCTGTCTTCATTCATCAGATTTAATTTAACTATTTTTGTCAGAGTAATTTGCACTTCATCTCCCATTTTTAGGCCAGCTTTATGCCTGAAAGGAGTAGGAAAGAATTCTTGTGTGGGGAGTGGTATATTATGCTGTGATTATCGTATCTCATGCAATGCAGATTGGTTTTCCCTCTGAGGTAGTTCAAAAGAAAAATGAATGAGTTCCTTTACTTAGGAAGGGTCAAATGTGTAAACAGTGCCTTTACAAGAAATGTTCCAGGAGCAGAAGTTTGCAGTATTACCTGACTGTAGATCCTGACATTGTTCTGAGAAGAAGCAGCAGTAACCTATCAAGCATTTTCCATTACCAGCTAAAACTTTGATGCCTCTTCTGTAGGAATTTACCATACTCACTGATGCTTCAGCATGCATTGGAGCACAGGCAAAAACTGCACCAGTGGACTAGGCTGTTCATCAGCTGTAGCACCCAGAATCATCCTTTCAAGTAACTGCAGGTTTTCTTAGACACAGTAAAACATACAAGATATTTACATGTGAGGGGAGGCTCATGATGGTGAGTGGCTGCAAATCAAGTGGCTGAACACTGCACAAGGCAGATGGTGAAAACAATGGTTTCACTTTCAATAGTCTATTTATAGAGTGAGCTGGAAGGGGAAAGTGAAAGGGAAAATGGGAATGTGTGTCAATGCAGACTGAGTTACTCCAAAGTCCCACAGCAGAGCAGGCAACAGTCTTCTTGCCCATGACAAGGGAAGTTTTCAAATTCCCACATGGCCTGGAAGATTCTATTTACAGCTCAAATATCTATAGCTCACCTAGGTAGAATGGCTTTTTTCCATTTTTAACTCCTTGAGGGATAACCACAGGAATTGGCCAGCTCCCTTTTTCTCTCAATCAAACAGCAGTCGGAGGCTTTACTTGCTCTGCCTGCGTGGGTGCAGCATGTTAAACCAGCACTCTTTAAAAAAAAACTTCCATAAATTCTTTAAAAACCTTCCATAAATTCTTTAAAAACCTTCCACAAATTCTTTAAAAACCTTCCATAAACGTTTCTCAACAGGGAAGCTGCAGTCAGACAGACAATGAAAGCTACGTAAGAACCGATGATGAGGAGAGCTGCTTTCGGACAGACGATGAAGAAAACTCAGCTGCAAACTTCACAGAAGAGTGGAACCAAGAGGTGCAGCGTCTCTTGACAAAAAAATCACATAACTAAGTTCTGAGGACTGTAGCACAGTACTTTTGTTCTAAGAGTTGTAGTTTGTAGATGTGTGTTTTTTGACAACAAGACTTTTGTTTAAAGCTAACTTATATTAGCTACATCTTCTGTAACATGGCTCATTACTGGCGAAGCAAACAGACTGACGCGCGTGCTGCTGTCACACACGGCGGCGCTGTTAATAACTCACGTGAACCCTTTGCACATGATATTGAACCTGTTCAGTTTACAATGACAATACTGTTTATAGTTAGAAATTTGATTTCTGAATACTTTGAGATTTTAGTAGATCGGTTTACTATACACTGTACATTTTTTTTTTTCCCACGGGAGAAATAAAAAGCGACAATTATGCATTTAACACTGAACGATGATACTCCTGAGTGTATATATCTAGTAGCCCAAAAAACAAAGAACCAGACTATATTTGCAATTTGTTTGCAAGTCTTTAAATTAAGGCTTATACAAAATGTACTAAAATAATAATAATATAATTAATAATAATAATAAACTTCTCTAATTTAGGGCTAATGTGTAACTTAGGAATGTTTCTTTCAAAATAATCTAACAAATCAGCCATAGAAGTTAGTGTAAATATTTTTTTTCCAAATAGATATCATATACAAAAGGTGACATTCAAATGATATAGAATCTAGTTTTTAAATCAGCACAGATCTTCTTAAAACTGTGAACTATGTTTTGAAATACTCGTTGCTAAAGCTGTTTATAAACCACAGGTGCCATAAGATCCCTGAACTGACTGATGTTACGTATAATCCTCCATGGTATTGTTTCATTGATGTTTTAGCTTTAGTAAGCATGTGTTCAACAAACCAGCTCTTTCCATCTCTCTGCCCCTCCTCTTCCTCCCCACCCCCTTCCATTATGTTATTTTCGAGGCCTTCAGCTTTAAATGTACAGGCTTAAAGTGCGCTTGCAACTGTTTCCTTTTGATTTCCGAATGTGTACTGCCTTAGCCAGCCACCAGATGTTCTGCATGCCCTCTTGGAAATGTGTGGTGAGACTCTTTCAGAGCTGGATGGAGAAATAGCGCTCAGTGAAAAGCACAAGAAGAGCAGTGGGTTCTTGCGGAAGGACAGGCATACAGTTACAGAATTGGAGTGTCGTCCAGTTTAGTATTTTTCCAGTATCAAGGCATTTCAGGAGAAAGGGGACTGACGTGGCCATTAGGCAGGGTTAGGCAGTGAGGCTGCTGGCTAAAAAGTGTTTGCTCTGCTGTGACCACAAACCTACAGATACTCCTGAGTGGGCATTGACACAAACTAGCATCCACGTGCTCCCCAGAGCACCCTGCTCCAAAACAAAGGTGACACCTCTGTGGCACATGGCACTGCCGTGCAGAGGAACCAGAGCCAGGCCAGGGACAGCTGGAGCAGCAGCAGGGCAGGGACACCAGGAGGTGTTCCATGCTGGCCCTCCTGAGCTGCACACTGTTAGCTCGGGGCCGCCTCTGTGCCAAGGTAACTTTACTGCCCTAATGCAAAACTGGGCTTCCAGTGCCTGGCTGACCTGAAGTGACACTGTCTAACAGCCCTGAAAACAGTGGTGTTTCATACAGATATTTCACACCAGCACAGTTTGCCTACAGCAAGTGATGAGATACCCATCTGAAGCAGGTTAACGTGGCTTGTCTGTCCTTGCTTTCATGGTGACGTGGATGTGTGCTGCCGTGTTTACATGAGATTGCTATGTAGCTCGACCCAGTAAGTCCACTCGTTTGCATGCATTCTCCAGGCTCGTGGCTGTTTCCCTGGGCACTATGTGTTAGGGAATGAGTATCTGTATGAAAGAGCTGCTGCCATGTTTCACTTTCATATCATTTTATTGTGTATGCAGATCTCTTGTCTGTATATCCTTGCATACCTGGGCTTGCTCCCAGACATCCAAATGCATACTAAGGGATCCAGATATCTTCATGTAAGCTTTTCATTTTTGCAATCACCAGTCTTTGCTCCTGGGTATGTGCCATCCTGGCAAGGCAGGCACCATATCCTCCACTGTCCCCTCCTGCAACCTCCTCTCAGGAATGAGTTAGCCTCCACTAGTGCCTAGCACTCCATGTTTTAAGCTACTCCAGTGAACCTGTAGACATTGCTGTCAGCTCAGGATTCCAGGCAAGCATTTCCTGAACAGGGAGAAAACAAGCTAGAACACAGCTATGTGCAATGGCTGATTAGTTCAACCCATGTCATGTTTAACTGTGCCCAAAGTAATAGATCCCTCTCATTACCTTAATGTCTGCGTGCTCATTGTCACCGTGCTTAAAATAGATGCACTAGACTAAATCCATTGCAAGAGCTTTCTGAACTAGGAGTAAGAAATGAAGTTGACTAATCAAGCACCTTTCTTTTAGGCTGGTGTCAACAAGATGATCCCTTAGGAGTTCTGGGTCCCTTATGCCCTGGAGCTCTGATATGAAGCACCTCTTACTTAGCTCTGCAAATGTCTATTTTAAGCATTTTTCCAACCGTTAAGCTGGCTGCATTTTCACCCAGCTGGTCTTTGTCTGTTTGTTGACTATTATTTTGGTTGTGGTTTGCGGTCATTAAAACAAACACAGTTACAGAAGAGGTCCCTGGTATGGCCCTTTTCTTAATTACCCATGGCCCGCCACAGCCGTCAAAGCTCCGGGTGGTTTTGCTGTCACTGGAGGAAAACCAGTGGTTTGGAATCAGGAAACAGGGATGTGAAGATGTATAGGGTCCTTGAATGTCCAAAATGAAGGTGGAGAATGGGTTGTCTGTAAGTAGTAATGTTAACTAAACTGCATAAAAAGGTGTGTGGCCTTTGTTGTGATATAATATGTATTTTCTTATATGCATGAGCCAAATTGTTGCATCATAATTTATCATAAGTGTGTCCGCCTTTACTTTCAGTCGTCACCTTCTCCCATTCTTATTGGTTCTTGGCAATTACTGTAGATAGACCTTGTAAATATTGCAACCTCGGGTTGCTGTAATCACACTGGTTCAATTCAGCAGACGGAGCTGTGAACAGCAAGCACTCCACAGTGTCCTGAAGAGTAAAGGGCATTTTTACCTTTGAACCAAAAAACAACAAAAAAAAGTACGAAGAGTTACATCTTGAGGCTACTAACTGCAACGCATTTTTAAAACACTGTACTTGACACCACTTGAGACAGATACAGAGACACTAAAAATGTCACGATATTCATTGGTATTGTAACAGAACTGCTATTGTATGGGGTTTTTGTATTGCTGTTAAGTATTGTTTTGTGTGTGTGTGTTGGAACCTACTGGGGACATGTTATATTTTGAAGTGATTAAACTATTTAATTGTGTGTCTATATTTTGGAATGGAATTATTTCTTCATTAAAAAGATTTTTAAAAGGAATTCATGGAGCATCATATTTGTGGCTTATTTCGGTTTCAATGTCCTGTTCCATGGAGCCCAAACGGCATTTTTTTTTTGTAGGGAAGGAAGTGTGTCCCTGTGGTGCAGCAAGTAGTCTTTGTCTCCTCCACCATGTCATGACAGAGCTCCCTCCATCACCTTCCACAGCACTATGAACTTGGTACTGAGCAGCACCCACTTTCAGTGGCCCAAGCAGTTTCTTCATTCTTCCTTTCTTAATTCTCTGTATCTTTAGCAGTTTCACAACCTGAAAATGAAGTTCCCCATCTGTAAAAAACCTGCCCCTGAATCCACTTTACAGCAATGAAAATGACCATAAGCAGAAGACATCAGGGCCTGACAAGGTGCCTGGTACAAACTTAGAAAGTGGTACATGGTTCTCGGGAACCTAAACTTGGTTCTCAGGAACCTAAACTATCTGCAATAGTGTAATTTTTTTTCTTAACCACTGTGTTTCCCTGGCCTTAGAAGGAAGAAAACGTTGGAACAGGCACGTTTAAATGGCTTTACCATTCACAGTCACACGTTCTTCTGTTGCAGATGAGCACAAAGTCTGTTTTTCCAATTACACCTTTAAGATGTCTTTCCTTGTTGTTGGTAGTTGCAACTGGTCGCTAACCTGAAGGAGCATGGAGTTGCAAAGCAAGAGCTCACACTTAAAGCAGCAAGTTTGTGTTCTGATGCAGTGCTTGGGGCTGCCTCATCAGGACGTGGCAACATCTGGAGTGGCCAGTGGTGCAGCTGGGTGTGGTGGCAGCCCTTCCCATCTGCACTGCAGCTGCTGTCCCAGAGTGTGTCACTGACATCCAGAATGTCCCCAGCTGTGCAGTCAGAATTGTTAGCTGCCCCATGAGCCACACCAGGGAGGGGTCTGTTAGATGGAAAGCAGCAAACCAAAAATATTCTCTATCTACTTAGCAGATACCCCAGTGTGTTGGGAAGCAGATAAAGCCCAGTCTGCTGCCTCCTTCAGCACTGGCTGCTGTGGTAACCTATAAATCACCAGGGTTTATTTGCCCTAATTCTCCTGTCTACATGTTGACATTCTTCAATAAAGATGACCGTTTCACACTGTAAATTGTTTGCCAGATCTGCTGAACTTTGCCTCCACAATCCCAGTCCAAATTCATATCCACAAGACTGTAATGTATGATGACATATAAGCTCATGAGGATAACTCTGTTTTATCCATGCATAATCCCAAATTGCTGTGTTGCTTCCTAACCCACAATCAAGTCTATGGCCCCTGGGGAACAAAGGAGCCACTGGAAACTAATTTATAGGCAAGGGCTGTTTTTCTCTTTGCCTCTTGGTTACTCTAACTGCTTTTTGCAAGGAAAATAGACTCATACAGGAGGAAATAAATTTGTTTCATTTGCAAAAGGAAATAAAATAGTAAATAAAAAGTAAAATAAAAAATAAATAAAATAAAATAAATAAAATTAAAATAAAATAAAATAAAATAAAATAAAATAAAATAAAATAAAATAAAATAAAATAAAATAAAATAAAATGTGGTCTTTAGATATGAGTAGTTGGCTCCTTAGCTGGATCAGCAGTGAACTAGGGGGCTAAAAGCATCTGGAATTTTCTGAAAGCACCTGAGAGTTTCATTCAGTTGCACACAATTCTATGGCTGCTTTTCCAAAATTTGCTTAGGCCTATTGCTCAGCAGTTGTAAATTCCACTGCAAACAGCCCTAAGGTCTGGGTGAAACTTTTAAGTGACTGTTGCAGGAATATGAAGCTGAGTTTATGAGAAAAATGAAATAAGTTGGTTAGGAAGAGAAATCTCTATTGTTCCATGAAGAAAAAGTGTATTGAAGAATTTCATATGCCTCAGGATCATCCTGTCTAATACCCCGGATAATCCGCAGATTAAGGATTCCCATTTGCTTTCTCCTAAGTTACTCCACCAGTTGAGTTGCCTGTGGATTAGGACAGCTCTCCCAAGCTGCCAGCCCTGCACCATCAAGCCTTTGGCTGCAAAAGGCAGAGCAGCAGAATTAGGCTACACTTCTCCCAACCCTCCCATTCCCCAGGAAACAGGTCCCAAACTGAAGGGCCCAAAACTCTGGAGCTTTCTAAAAAAGCTGCTTTAGGCTAGCAACCTCCTAGGACAAGGCTGAGGGAGGAGGGAATTGTGCAACCACATCATACAAAGATGGTTAATGCATAACATAAGTTGGTTAATGCAGCTTGGAGATAATAAAGACCAAAGAGATGGGTGATGGGAAAGAGTAGCTGCTCTTGTGTGTCTTGGTAGGCAATGAAGGAGGCCATGGTGCATTTTGTCATTGGTATGTGATGCTGCAGAATGTGGTTTGCTATTTAATGCAAGATCATTTACTACTAGCAAATTAATTACCTGATGGCTAGCATTTTTCACACAGCACAGCACTCAGCAGTGGCCAGATGGCAGATGTGTCAGGGCTGCTGCTCGCTGTGCTAATTGTCAGCCCTAAGGGCTGCCCAGTTAACACTTCTCCCCTGCTTGCTGCAGCCCAGCATTGCTGCTAGAGCCCAGCATTGCCTGCAGCCAGCAAGCTCATTCAGAGAAGAGGCACCTTCCAAGCTCGTGTCTTCACTGATTCTCTTGTTGCTGCTCAGTTCAGTTTTGGTCCCTTTTGGTACATTCCTGTCTGAAAAAAAAAAAAAGGTCAAACTGGTTTCCAGTGTGGGGATGTGTCTGTGCACACCTGCATTTCTCAGCTTTTGGTTTTTCAGCCCCCAGATTCCTTGCAAGCCTCCCCTAACCCCAGGCAGGGGTACAGAGCATCCATCCCTGCTCCTCCTGCCTCCACCTCATTGTGATTTCAGGACAGGCTGCTCCTCACCTGCACCAAACTTCTCCTTATGTCTTTGGTGATGCTATTCAGCACCTCCTCGTGGAGCAGGGGCTGCTGCTCACCTGGGAAAGAAGTTTCTCACCTCTGCCTTCCTGTCCCACTTCCCATGGGAGCTGCTATGGGGCCCAGACCAAGTTTTTTCCCAGATGGGATCCCTTGTTCAGGTCAAAAAGTTCCTTTTGGGCACCCAAAATCCTTTCCTGGTTTCACCAAACAACCAAATGTGTTTATACTCCTGTGATCCACAGAGTAACCTCCCCTCCTGCATCCCTCAGTGGTGCCTAGTCCAATTACACCCCTTTTTTTTCTTTTTTGCTTATTTTGAATTGCTTTTTTGCTTATTTTGCTTTATTCTTTATTCAGGCTTCTGGCAGTAGCCTTAAATCCCCCATTTTGTTCCTACACTGCTGCTATGAGTAGGAATCAGGTGCTTAACAGGTCTCTGCACTTCTTTAACATCTGCCTTCATGTGAAAGAGCAAGAGATTACATGCTCTGTAAGAAGCACTTTCATCATCATATTCATTATGTAGGTGCAATTAAACTTAGAAATCCCCCCCAAGAGACCTCAGCTCTGACAAATGACCCTCTTGTCCTCTCCACAAAGCAGAAAAGTTGTATTTCAGTCCTTTCACGTGGCACTGTGTGCTGTCTGGAGTGTTTTCCATTTGCCACCTATAATAGCTGCACCCTGGCTCTCAGCTCATTTGCCTG